TCGTTATTGTGGCATTGAAGTCATATGCTTTGTGCCAAAAGGAACGCAAAAGCCGCGACCTTTAATACGTCGCAATTCCGTTCAATAGAGAACCTATTGCGCCGATTTATGATTCGGGACTCGCTCGTTAAGGCGAGTTTATATTTGGCTACGGTCATTTTTATTGACGATTGAACTGATTAAATCTTTTTCAACGATTCAATTGTAGATAGGTCTTTAGCGACGATCGAAATATCTACCGGAATCACTTTGTCGCGTTCCATCGGTCTAGACTTTAATCACTGAATAGAGATCCATCAAATTTATCAATTATGATTTCGTGTAACGCATGCTTCTACTTATTGCTAGTTAAAAGATTGACGCGCTAGTAAATTTTAAATAATTAAACAATTTTTGTAAGAATTATATGTATATATAATTATTAGAAATATCTGTTTTATTAATAATTAGTAGTAATACACTCTCTTTTGTGCAATAGATAGTTATGAATTCACATGCAAAATAGCGTTAAATTAATACTGATTTATATGTACTTTGAGTTTAACATGCGTGTTTATATTTTTGTCAAACCAAAACAACAGCTGATCATTTTGTTTGTATTGGCTTTTAATATTTCTTTAAAGATTGATAATTTACATCACAAACGTTACTAATATCAATTAATGTTTACATCATAAAGCTGTTTATCTTTCCTCAGTGATATCACAGGTTCTAAAATTCTCTTGATTTGCAGAAGCAGATTTAATTATCTGGAACATGTATTAATTATCTGGAAATATATTATTTAAAAAATTTTTTTTAATGTTCTCTTTCGATTAGTATTGTGCAAATTTAGACTAGTTAACTATCATATATATCATAAAAAGAAATTTTATTAAAAACAGTAATTAAATTAATAACTTAATAAAAAATAAGTTATTTACAAATAAATACAAATTGTTAATTAAAATAAATAATAAATTAAATAATAGCACATTTGCCTTTTTCCATCAACATAATTTACAATGAAAATCTGTTTTCATTTTTTTTTCTCTAAAAAAATCTGGAAATTTTACTATCCTTATAATAATTGGATGTTTGTTTTATAAATACAGCGATGTGCTGAAATTCTTTGCAATCTTCATGCCTCATCTCATATAAACGACGCAAAACCTCTTTACTTCGTGTCGTTTATTATGCACACCCAAACAATACCCGGAAAAGTAATACGCCAACAGACTGCAATTTGCACGGTTGCTCAATATCAGTATACATTTAATGACTGTCACGAATTTAACTGTTATCTCGTGCCGGTGTTTGCTCGTGGAATTGTGTATGTATATTTTGCCACTAATGACACAACGACCATGCACGATTAGCCTTCAAGGCCTCGGCCGCTTGGCTCCCCCATTTCAATATCGCTTTTATCCCTTCCTTCTTTCCGTCACTGATTAGGATACCCTACGTCCGCGATTACTTTTTGAGGTTTCCGCTTATCGTGTGATTAGTGCTGCAGCTATGTCTCATTCATTAACAGAATATCACGTGCTTCAGAATCGTAGGATATTATCACTTCGCTCCTTATTGCGAAATTCATTTTTAACGCTTTTAATATTGATGATACTCAATTTATACGATATCAAAGCAATTAGCGGTTTGTCATATGATAATAATGTTATATTATCTCTAGGTTTTATGATAAATGGTTTTTATTTCGATTTTTTAATAGAAGACTTTTTCAGTCTGGTTTTATGAAAAATTCATTCTGATAAACAAGAACAGAAAATTTAATCTTAATTTAGTCATTTGAAGAAGTTAAACACATTCTATAATAGATTAAATAAAAACTATATTATCAGTTTTATATAATTATTATCGTTGTTACTTTCAATTTTTATAAAGCGAAAACAACAGTCTGTAATAAACTGGTATCAAAACAGTATTATATAAATATATATATATGTATACATCAATGGCTATATTTCATCGTTAATCTCATTTATAAGAAATTGCGAAAGAGAGAAACAACGAACGGGATAAAGTTTCTTTGCTCGGCGCAAAAATCTCCGTTTCATCGCATGAAGAACACGCGTCGTTTTCGTTCCGAGGCGCCGCGGGACAAAAATAGACGGCGAATTCGTGCACGAGGCCGACCTACACAGAGGTGTGTAATTGGAAAGAACGGCGGGGAACCGGGTCTCCTCCGTGGGTGCGTCGTCGCGTCGCCGAGACGATCGGGTTTATAGATGTTCACCGTGACCGGAACACGGCGGGATATTATGCGTAGGCACCGCGCCGGATGCGTACCTCGTGCTTCGCGAGACGATATTTCCCAAGTATCCATAAATAAGCACCGAGATATGTATAGATTACTCAGATAGCTGACGATAACAAATTCATGCGCGCAAGTTGGAGTGATTTTATGAATTTTAAATATTTCTTTATTTAAGGACTATTATTAGCCCCTCGATATTTTAGGACTTTCGTCTTGAAATGATCTCAGGAGTCTGCTATGTATATTGGCTCAAACACAATGAATACACGCTTACGCAATCATGACGTATTCATATTTGATAGTTAACTTGGTATAACGTAAACAAATATTTGTAAAGATATTCGTAAAGGAACGAGATGAATATTTTTGTACTCCATTAATAAGTTACTTAAATTGATAAACAAATCGCGTTTATTTTACGATTAACGTTCCGTATATTTTTATACTCAACAACATCGAATGCAGAGGTTCATCAAATGTAGTAAATTTTCAGCTATGCTCTAAATGATATTAGATTCGCGCTGTTTGCACGCGCATTCGTTATCTATCGACACTGGTCTAAAGTCTAAATCATCATAATAATCCTAACGTGAAACGACAAAAATCGTGGTACTATCGTGTTTGAAGACACATCTATTTTTAAAGCGTGAGCATTGGCACCTGAAAAATATTTCAGGTAGCATGGAACAAGGAAAACAATACACGGAGTCTAGAGTTTGGTGTAAACCGAGAAAAAAAAAATAGATTTACAATTGTCTCGTAGTACAATCGAGGGGGTATAACCACTATCTGAAATATTGTCCCACATGATTTCATTTAATTTTATACAATTTTATTTGATGACAAATAATTTTTCCTCACTATATATGCGGTCATTTGGTAAAATTAACGATTTTATCTAATATTACACAATTATTTCTTGTAATTGTCGGATTATATATCGAAATTTTATATAAATTTTATAATGATTTCAGGGACTCCGTCCCACGATTACATTAAGTGATTACCCCCTCGAGTACAATACATTTAAAACAAATGCATAAATTTTATCTTCTTTCTCTCGATTTATATCATTCTTATACTTTGTATACAAAATGCATTTGTGCTGGATACGCAAATTTTCCACTTTTCCTCGTGTAACGACGAGTTGTCAACGAACCGAGCGCCGCGTACTAATTCGTGAGCCAAACCGCGCGGTGATGGCTGGCGATTCGGAACCCCCGTCCGTCACGTCGTTCAAACAGAATCCTGTTTAAACCTGGTTAGCGGTCAGATGGCCGGCAAAGACGTACATACGGCTCACGTGAGCTGCGATCGCGCGTCGGTTTGCTCTTCCTATTTTCGTAGTTGTTCGGTATATAAAGAACCCGTCCTCGGGGCAGACGTCGTCGCTGAGAGATTTTGGCAGCAGTTACCGCGCTTTTCTGCGCCGCGCGCGGCGCCGTACATAGAGCGGATCTCGAGTAGCGGACGCTCTATCCCCGCTCGCGGATAGAGCGTCCAGAACACAGAGAGGACACTCAGTTTAGTCTATTCGGTGGCATTCCGTGGACATTCGGTCGTCGCGACGCCCGTTTTGCACACGCGTCGGCGCGTCGATTTTCGCGTTCTTCTCCGGACGTCGCGCCGCAGGCGGGGCGTCTCAAGATAGACTCTCCTCGTCCTCGCCCCGACTCGCGAAACGAACGCGAATGTGAACGAAGACCCGAACGCGTGGATGACGTGATGCGCTCGCGATTATCCACGGAGATACGTTCTTTTCCGCGGAGAGGACAAAAAAAACCCTTTCAAAGTGGAGTACCGCGCGAGCACTTCGACGTTCCCGCTCTTCGCGGTCTGATTTTATTCCTCCGTCGCGTGGCACGTTCTTTCGAACTGGACATTTCACTTTATTAGGACGACCGGCCGAGTGTTCACGTGAATTCTAAATAATACCGATGGATAACAACATTTCGTGCAAATAACAGTTGTCTTCCTACGAAGTCTGAGAGGTGTTTATCAGAACTAATATACATTCGTCGTACATTCATAAGGTGTAAAAAAAGAGGCAAAGACGAAAATGGGGAACATCGATAGCTCTCACGATGTAGAAATGAACTCGCTGTCGGTGATGACACCGAACGATCGTCCCCATATTATGGTGAATACAAATTATATGAATTATTTTGGAAATAATAATTAAGGTAATTTAATTACTAAAAATGAAGTCTAGAGATATTATTCACTGCAGCAACAAAGTGCAAAGAGAATTAAAAAATGCATTTAAGTAACTGAACAAACATCAAATTTACGAGATAATTAATTACTGAACGTATATCTTTTTTTTCAAAACTCGCACGTTACTAAACGAGTTAATTTCTTTACAACAGCAAAAGCCATTAATAATTGATCAATCGAAGAGTTGTCGCCGTTACGTCGAGTCGACAACTCAATCGTAAAATCCGGAAAGCCGTTGGGCAAAACACGTCTCAATGAACAACGGAGTTGTATGTCATACATGCAACTCGATGCATGCGAGGCCACGCATAATCTCAACGATACAAAACTGACCTGTCCCAATCTGCTCCCCTCCAAGAGAGACAATTACGGGCGATCATCGCATTCAAAAGTATTCATCGCGTTCGCCGATAACGCGCGTTTATTTCGACCCACTTAATTAATTCGCGCGCGCACACCGCAGTCCGTCACGTGCGTCGCTGCGTTCGTAATTCGTTCGATTAAACTCGACCCTCTTGTTCTGTTACAGAGAACGCCAATGCGCCCGATGATAGCGGAATACGAGCCGAAGAAGCAGGGGGTGAAAACAGAACTCTCAGACGTGGTGCTTGTCAAGTAAGTCTCAAAATTCCGCTAGAGAAATCAACGCGAACAGAACGGCTCAACGTTATAGTTGAGCGCGTTCACCTATCTGCTACCACGACCAATCATCACCATTGCTTTCTTGCCAAACCCAAATGCTCAAGCAAACGTGAGTGAGAACAAAACCCGAGGATCATATATTGTGCATTTACGTTTTTTTTTTCCCCCCGTTAATTTGTGTATCTCTATACCCATTCTCTTATGCTATACTATATATTACTATGGTTATATATTTCAATTGACTTGCTCATTTCTCCTTCTTCTTTTTGTTCCGTTGTTTTTAATCGTTAAATTATTCTAATTGTTAGTATATTACGTACACTAATCATGCATACCGCCTGATCGCTGACGTAGAATTCGTAGCGTAGCTGGCACCAGGGATGCTTGACGACCGCCTGCTGAATCTTTTGAACGATTGCGAAGTTGCTCGTTTGTGTTGCGTATATACAGAGATATGTATCTGCTTACTGTGTCATATTCTTTCACGTCGTGCGAACACTGCGTATGAGAAATTCATTTGACTGAAAACATTCTTAATTCATTAACCCTCAAGACGTAACGTTAGTTTATCGATCGGACCGTTATATATCGAAGCTTTATTTTTATTCTTCCTAAAAATTAATCGAGAAGTAAATCATAATTTGACAGTGCTTTTAAGTGAACAATAATTAGAATTAATTAACCTAATGATTCGCCAAATTGATATTACTCGTAATAAAGAAAGAGTGATGCCATGAGGATTAAAACTAATGCGAATCGTTATTTAATCACTGTCATCTTGCCAATAAAAAAAAAGTTGTTATCTTATCGGATAAATAAATAAACGATGCTAAACCATTAACAATATGTCTATGAGATGTCATCTCGACTTGTTAGATAAAATATACGAACGAATAGTTGAAACGTTTTTTTTCTCGATATTATACACAAGATCATAATATGTAAATACAGAGACCACGGTTATCGTATAAAGAATACGTTTGCTTAGACATTTGCTTCTATTTCATAAATATATCAAATTATTATTACAATATAATTAAAAAAAATCAATGATTATAATATACATCTCTATAAATATTTTTTTACGCAAAATAAAATTTTTATTTTCCAAAATACGATAGTCATCGATAATTTTTAAATGACTAATTAAAAAGAGTTGTATCTTTTGGTTTTCCGTGTAAAGTGTGGTAATCGATAAGCGAGGAGAGAGAGAGAGAGAGAGAGAGAGAGAGAACGGCGATAAAATCGCAAACGTTCGCTTCCTTCGTCGACTGATTTAGTAGCGCGGCCACTACGAAATCTTTGGATCCTTTGCGCTCGAGACGAGACTCCTCTCTGCTGCCGTTTTACCCGTCATTCGTCGAAATTCGTTTACGCAATAATCTTTTCGCACGTGCGAATTCTTATGACCTTGAAGTAGTTTACGCGAATCGCGTGGTCGGTTGATCTTTAACACCTTCGCGCTTATGCATTTATGTATTATTCCGGATTTCCTGTATTATTCTCGGTATCGCGACTCGCGCTGTTCTAATTTCACTAAACGGAATATCCGTATTAGTCAATTGCTCCCCAAGGCTGACTGATTTCTAATTGTATTTAATTCTCGTATTCTCCTCTTTAGCCATTTATTACTTTCAAGCGCCGAAGTTAGGCGAGTGACGAACGTAATACATGTGAAATATCTGACTTACAATTAGTTGTATATACCTCTCTTAAGGAACACTGAATTATTGTAATAATTAAATTCTCAGTTAAATTAAGCTGCGACAATTTTCTAACAATTTCGTAAGAGTTATAACATTTAATGAAATATTAAATCGTAGCTGCGCTTTTTATGCGTATAATAAAGCCGAGCGGATATTATCTTAAACAAGTGGTATTCAAAAGAAATTGTCCAATAAAAGAATCTATTACGCCGAATTAACCAAATCAGTTTGCATCGCATTATCGTTTTCAAGTGTACAGTTTGCATTCACGTCTAATAACGTGCGACGAGGAACATCGGTTTTACTCATAAGAAAAACGGCAACAGAAGGAGAATCGCTACGGTTTTTCTCCGTCGCTGATCGAGAATGCTTCGTGAAGAGGTCATGCGGTATGCAAAGCAGGATATATTCCCAGAGGATAAAGGATTTGTCTTTACTGTATAATATGTGCATTTATATGATTCCAGACTAGCGTATAAACTCCGGGCATAGATTCGGGCTCTATGAAAAGTGCTCTGCTAATAACGAAAGAGAACGAAAAAGATATATACTATCGTTGAGAAAAAAAAAAAATATAAGAAAATGCGACTGTCGGATCGCTCTTTTGACACTTTAGCTCGATGAAATTCGCACAAAAGACGACGTGACGCGACGTCGACGCGATGCCGACTTGGACGCGACACAAAAATATCATCGGACGGTTGCAAAATCCGTGGCCAAGAGCCGAGATGTATTGGCATATCGATTCGGTGATAGACGTGCGTAAAAGCGAAAACAAAATAAAAAAAAAAAAAAGAAAAATACAAAATATAAAAAAAAAAGGCTCGGCAAGCAAAAAGGAGGCTTGTTAGTCGTCGTACTGCGTCGTGGCGCTGGGCGTCGCGGTGATGCAGTGCGGTGGTTTGCGGCTGCCCCTCTGTATGTATTACGCCTGTAACGCGACGCGTCGAACCCCCACGGTCACGTTGTAACACGTGACGACCGGACACACACAGACTCTAATCCCGGGGGCTTTCTCGACAGAAAGTTTCGCACGACTACGGGAGAGAAACTACCGCACCTAAAAGATATGGGTACCTATAATACCTAAACACCTATGCCGTCTTCTTTTTTTTTTTTTTTTAAACAAATCTATTACATGAACGTGCATTACTCGACTCTTTTTTTTTTTCTGTCTCATACACACGTGACACGAGCTCACACACCCGCACATACATACAGCGCATGTGCGCATACATACACTTGCATAGAGAGCGAATTACTCGCATTGTGCGATACTCGCGTTTTCGATCGGCTGTAGGGGTCGGTGAAAGAAAATTCCCCGCGACTTACGGAACGTCATTCCATGAAAGCGAGAATATGTCTGCATGTCTCGAATTAACCGTCAATTATTAACGCATCGACGCGTCGTGTCCTTCAGAATCATCCATCTATCTGCCTGTTATCGTTCGATTTTTCAGGATGAAATCGTGTGTTTGCAATCGAGCATGAATGCGGAAAACGCGGAGAAAGAGTAACGCAAAAGCTGTCGTTTACCGCGCGATCGTACGGAATGCGCGAATTCAGCATTGGCGCTATTTTATCATCATGAAATTTCAATAACAAAACGATATCGCTTTGCAAAGCCTTGCTTGAAATTCCAACCGGCGATTGCGATCTGAGTCACCCGACTCAGACTAAACGTAACTTTGCTAAAAAAAAAAAAAAAATGTTGCGTGTAAAGAGTTACTTTAGATTATAATCAGTGATGTAGTCTAACAATGAGTCATATACAATTCGAGTTTCACACATCGTTCATGTTGGTGACAAAACGACGGTTCGTGCTACGCTTTTTTTCTACGCATATTCTAGAAAGGTGAACGAGTGGACGTGTCGAGAGAATAGATATGATGATGTTGAAAGACCTAGTAATGAAAAAAAAAAAAATAATAATGAATATGAGAATGAAATAATTGATTAAACACACGGCATTTATAACATTTTCTTATTCTTAGAATACTCATTTTTGATGCAATAATTAATACTCGTAACTAATACTCGTAATTCTAAATTTAGTGACAGTTTTTGTAAAATTCCTGTAATAACACAAGTCGATTCAAGACAGATTGAAAATGCAGATTTCAATGGATTCGCTAAGTTCTAATTGTAAATAACCGACTGCAACGACTTAACGTGTGTTTAATAAATGCGTAAAACTTATATGATACTTATTTTGCTCATTATTTTCTCTCGATGCGAACGGACGGAGAGTCAGACGCAGGAGGAACAATTATTTGAAACATTCAACGAATAGATCAAGTATTCGCAGAAATATTTGCATTATTAAAGCATATACGAATAGCGTGAAGTTTGTCCAATCTAGGAGAGGAAAATTTAGATAATCAATCACTCAATACTGTTTCTCATTTTTACGTCTGCAGAAATCATTTAAAAACGGCAATATCAATTTAAAGGTAAAATTTTCTAATTCGAGAAATTTAAAATACAATATAAATTCGATATTAAACAGAGAGAACATTTTTTCTCTATGTGCTGACAATAAAATGGTCTTTTCTGCTCTTCGATTGGACGTATCAATATTTCGAGACTTTTTCTAACACGTCTTTTTCGCCGGCTTTGTGCATTAATATCGCATACTACGCCGAACATTGTTCGGCTTGATCGAAGGCGCTTTTGATACGAGGGCTCATGATAACGACTTAATAACGAGGTAAACGCCAAACTTTCATCTTCACGGATGAAATCACCGTCGTTAAAGATGCCGAAATCCCTGCCGCGGCGATGCTCTCGCATGCGTCTCGCGCCCTGTCTGCGCCTCGACTCTCCGTCTTCCTCGGCATGCGAGCGTGCAAGAAAGAGAATCCTCCTACCCACGGCACACTCTCATTATGTTCCCCCTTCGCATCAAGTCGTGATGGAAATCGCGGGCACGAGGAAAACGCCGTACCGTGCAAAACAAAACCAGGTCCCACGTAACACTTATATTCCACGTGCAAAATATATAAGTAAATAAATATATATATATATATATATATAAATGTATGGGATGTCGTAAATTTTCCCTGCCCCGTTTCTCTTTCATCTACCCACTCTTTGAGTTATCAACTTAAAGGACGGGAATTCAAATAAATACACACTTTTTCTTCGTTCAATAATAATCTTGTCACATATAGATATTTCGCTCGAGCTTCTGAATAGGTCAAATAGTTTGTAGATGAAAGAAACGGCGACATCCTTGCGGAAACGCCCTGTACACATATACATATATATATATATGTAATTTACGTCCCATTCACGGAAATCGTTTGCCGCCAATTACGCTGCGATATGCTAAAGCCGCCGGTTTTGCAGATACAAGTGCGAGAAAAATGACGTGCCCATTACGGTCACGAATGGCTCGACCTTGCCGCTCGTGGAGCGACCGACCGACGAGGAGGCCGCCCTTTATGATCCATTCGAGCATCGCAAACTCGCCCATCCCACGTCGGACCTCGACACCCTGATACATCTACTGAAGGGGAGTTTGGGCACGGGTATACTCGCAATGCCGATGGCCTTCCGTAACGCCGGACTTGCCTTCGGCCTCTTCGCCACCTTCTTCATCGGTGCAGTCTGCACCTACTGCGTCCATATCTTGGTGAAATCCGCCCATCTCCTGTGCAGGCGGCTGCAGACACCTAGTCTGGGCTTCGCCGATGTGGCCGAAGCAGCCTTCCTAGTGGGGCCCGAACCCGTTCAGAAATACGCCAGACTTGCCAAGTGAGTTTTATTCAAGAGAGACATTACGTTTGCACGTCGTTACCAGGATTTACATATAAATTTCATTTTCGCAATTTGTGTGTTGAATATGAAGATGTACGTCGCGTTATTATTCCTTCTGTTTTCTATTATAATGATTTTATTATTATTCAGTACTATTTTTCGAATACCGTTTCAGGGCGACAATTAATTCGTTCTTGGTGATCGATCTGGTTGGTTGCTGCTGCGTGTACATCGTCTTTATTTCGACTAATCTCAAGGAGGTCGTGGACTATTATACGGCAACCGATAAGGATCTGCGAGTGTACATGGCTGCGTTGCTGCCATTACTCATCATCTTCTCACTTGTGAGGAATCTCAAGTATCTCGCGCCGTTCTCAATGGTGGCAAATGTATTAATCGCCACCGGTATGGGTATCACCTTCTATTATATTTTCAACGATCTGCCTTCTATCAGCGATGTACCAAATTTCTCTAGTTGGTCTCAGCTGCCCCTTTTCTTCGGTACTGCCATTTTTGCCCTCGAGGGCATCGGTGTTGTAAGTATACTCATTTTTTTTATATCGCTACGTTATATCTCGATAAATTTTAAGTAACATCAAACGCGAATGAAATATTAAAACTTAATAATTTTGTAGCAAAACTTTTTCTGAACAATGATGCTTACAACTTTAGAAAAGTTGTTGACAGAAGTTAAAATAAATATATTGATTTTGATTTGGTTTCTCGATTAGAATGTGATTATCTCACATTACGATCACCGTAGGTAGATCACAAGATAGATATTACGACACTGCGCATCAGAAATAACTTTGCATTCAGTTGCTAGACACGTCCGGACACTTAACGGTCGTGTTCGATTGTTCCAAGTATCGACACGCGTAAATCAAATGGCACGCCTTGATCTGTGCGTCATGGAATATTTCGTACATTTGTGACGCGTACCAACTTGATAAACAAAAAATATCACGTTAACGTTCTGTATACTCTCGGACAGAAATTAAATCAAGTCCAAACGTAAAAATTTTTAAAGCAAACGTTATTTTATTTTCAATCAAATACAAAGAAAAAAATTTTCGATTTATTTCAATTATATTTTACATATTTTCATGTATTTTTTGAAACCAAAAAAAAAATATTTAAACGTATATTCCATGTATATGGTTTTTTATATTGATAAAATAGAAACTACATATTTATAAACTTTAAATTGTTATACGCATTCTTTTGTTCTGAGTTTCATATGTATCATCAAGAGCTATAATTTGTTTCCAGGTAATGCCCTTGGAGAACAATATGAAAACGCCATCGCATTTCGTCGGTTGTCCGGGTGTCCTCAACACCGGCATGTTCTTCGTCGTATTGTTGTACAGTACCGTCGGTTTCTTCGGGTTCTGGAAGTATGGCGAGAACACAAAGGCCTCCATTACGCTCAATCCTCCGCAAGATCAGGTGCTAGCACAATCCGCCAAGGTAATGATTGCCATTGCGATCTTCCTCACTTACGGACTTCAGTTCTACGTGCCCATGGAGATTATTTGGAAGAACGCGAAGCAGTATTTCGGTTCCCGGCGATTGCTTGGCGAATATTTCCTCCGCATCCTTTTGGTGATTTTTACCGTCTGCGTGGCGATCGCGATTCCCAATTTGGGTCCGTTCATCTCCCTTGTCGGGGCTGTATGCCTGTCTACGTTGGGTCTCATGTTCCCGTCGGTGATCGAGCTGGTAACCGTTTGGGAACAGGAGAACGGTCTTGGCAAGTGGAATTGGCGGCTGTGGAAGAATATCGCCATCATCTCTTTTGGCGTGTTGGGCTTCCTCACCGGCACGTATGTCAGTATCGAAGAGATCCTGGAAGGCAAATGAGGCGCTGGATCCGGCGCGAGGAGCGGCTCACGAAGGCTGCTTGCGAATACTGCTCGTCGTCCGACGTTCGTCGGATGGCGAGTAACAGATATGACAGCGTGCCGGACGTCTTTCGCGCGGATGACGCAATGCTGTCAGCAGACAGGCCACCGGGTCCGAGACAGGGACTTCTCCTGACTCCCTATTCCCGCGTCCTTCCTGTCGGTAGCACGATAACTGTGACAATAATAACGATGACGACGACAATGACGAATGATGATAAAGACATTCGTAAAAGTCTTCGCGCGTGATAGAACTTTCATTTATCATTTTCTTAGCAGTAGTCAATTGTTAGTATTACACGCGTCGTGCACGATTGACGAAGCGCGAAGTGTACGGTCGATCGGAATAAAAATGATTTCATACCGCGCGCACTCGATAACTTATATCATTGTTCTCGCACAAGAATCACGCAGGATCAGCATTACTTAGCAAGATAGAGTCGTATTATAGATTGGCGCAAAAGTTATTTCATAAGTGACGTTAACATACCTATATTAGTTTCGAGACAAAGGTAATTTTATTAATTGTAACAATCATACTTTAATATACTTTTCTCTTCTGAAAGTATATTTTTCAAGACATTGCTTCGTTTGCAATAAAGTTGTAGAATTGTAATGTTATTTAAAACAGAAACTTATACAAAACAGTGATAAGTCTTTGGCGCAAATTTGATATTTTTGTGACTTTTAGAAGCAGAATGTATGCTGACATTTTTATTTTATCTTATAGTTATACACACACAGTAGAATTAAGACAGAATATTTATCGTGTCTTTTAGGAATTCCAATTTGAACATTAACGACGAACGTATAATGTTTACATTATTCTCTTACTCCTTTATTTTCCTGGTCATGTTATTTAATTATGTCGCATCGGCCGTACGTGTATAGCTTTTTGCGGATTTTACAACTGCAGGACGGTTTTCTAGAATAGCGCACGCGATTTCCTGTGGCCGTACGTATAACTTGTATACGTATATTGTGTATATAAATACACAAATTATCATATTTTGTAAATGATAAATGAGAACCGTACGCCTCAGTTATTACGTGCTTATTCGCTTGATCGGATTATTACTGTAAGACAGTGGTCTCAATAAGGTCACGCGGGCCGCATAACAGACATAAGATTTCGTCATCTATAGCCATATAAGTGAAGAACTTGCGTTCGCGTACAAGAATTTTTGTTTAAGCGTATATCGATACGATTACGCACTTAAACACATATAATTGATTCGCTGAGTCAGCACAGAATCGTATCTTTGCAATTTTACAAGGCTGATCGAACATCTCGATCTACGACAAGAATCTGTTTGCGGCCCGCATAAACACGCGTCTCCGAGACCTTTTCTTTACGAAAACGAGCTCTGTAAGATATTGCGTTCCGTGAGAGAGCGCCAATTGAACGTCACATCAGTTTTCTACTATTGGCATGTATTTGATTTTTAAGAGGAATTAGTCGGATGTGAAATATTTGTAAAATATCAGCTAGTCACTTATATTTTTAAAATATTAAATTTATTTTGTTCTCTGATCGACTATTACATAATGTTATTAAAAATTATGTGAACTAAAAAAAATTTAATTTTTAAATCAAATTTTTCAAACGAAATGACCTGTTAAAAATGTTATTCTACATATTTCATTCATTTTTTTTATATAGAATTATTGTCTTTTTCATGATATATAGATATAATTAATATCTAAACTACGTAAATAAAACGAATGATTCAATCGATGATTATTGGCTAACTTTTAGAAACGTATATACGATGGAAAGACCGATTTCTTCAGATGTGATAATCAATCGGCGTGATTCCATCGCAAATCGTTGGTCTGTTCCTAGTGCATGATGCACGATGATGTACAAAGAAGATTAATCCATTAAGAGTAGTAGGCAGAAAAGTGCGTAGGTATAGTAATATCGTGATGCACGCTTGCTAGTCTGTAAGTAAGATCGCGAGACACCGTCAAGCGCTATTTCGTCAGCATGCGCGATAATAATGTTTGAATTGATTCTAGTGTCGGAAATGTTAGGGGAATCCAACACGATTAATTGTTAGCACATTAATTAAAGGGGAAGTAGAGTCGGAAGTAGAAGACGAATGTTCATCGATACGTTATCTATTGAATGTGGAAATGGGGCAGCAAAAGCAAACAAGGTCTTTTAAAAAATATCACGAATTAAAAAATTAAACTTTTAATAAACAAAATTGGAAGATACAATATAAAGATGTATTTTAATAATAAACATGTACGTTTTCACACATTTGATAATTAGCAATATAATTTCAATGTATCTAGAGAAACACATTTTGTAAGATACACAAATGACAAGACTGCAAACAACTTTTCTATTTTTTAGAGAAAAAGATTTATACCTATACGTCACTTTTCGTATTGGCCTACTTCAAAAGATCACATTTTAAAGACAGTATTAAAGTTAGATTAATATTATATATTTAGATCTGATCGGTATTGTCACTATCTTCACTAATTCTTTATAACGATTTTAGCATAACGTATGTATAACGTATGTATCTTTTTCAAATTAACATTAAAAAACGTGAATATTTCGAACTGATAAATAAATCAATATTGTGATAAATTACTGATATTTCAATAATTTATAAAAAAGACTCTAACGCGCGATAGATAAATTTTAAATGTGATAGAATGTTATTATTCGCGAAGTAAACAATAAAATCGTTTGATAAGCAGATAAATGAACATTTCAAGTAAAAGATATAGAAGGCATATACCAAATCTGAAAGATTTTAATTACATGAAAATTTAATATTAAATTAAAATCTGGTTTATATTTAAATTAAATAATTAATATTATAACGTAATAATCACATAACACCTATAATGCAGCTTCACAAAAATAGATCCATAATGTTAAATGACGAAATATTTTAGATTGGAAAAACTTCTGTTTTCTTATAATAATAATAATAACGATAAAAATAATTTTTTTTTACTGAAAAGTATGTATATACAAACGATGAAATTGTATCATAAAATATCTTCTTCGAAATCCAGTCTACATCCTCTAATGGAATTCTATTTTCGGAAAAGAAACATTTTGTAAGAATATATAATAGGTACATATTAGACCATATATCACAGGATACACGTAATTCGTACTGTTTTAATAATGCGCCATCGATTTTCAGATTGTAGAAGGAAATAGTAATCACATTTTCATCGCGCAAAAAAAAAAAAATAATATAGCAATTTTATTAAATCTCTTGGAATATATTAAACCCTCTATAATAAGTATACAGTGGATTTAATACAAGTTCGAGATGAAGTAAAAGATAACACATTACAAAATAATAAAGAAAGAGAATGATATAAGTAATGTGCCACAGAAAGGAGAGAAAGAGGGAGAAAGAGAAAAGAGAAAGAAAAAGTAATACCAGATTTGGGCCATGGGTCCTATTTCCGGTTCCTATTCGTAGAATGAAAATGAGCACGCAATACGTAAGCCGTATCAGTTTTGATAGGGTAGTATTATTTTCGTAATGATGCGCTCATTTTAATGAATTTTTAAGATTTTATATGAGATAACATAGAAATAAAATGTAATTTTGTCTAGGCGAAAATTGATGATCGATGCATGGCGATTATTGCCAGTCTACTCCTTCGTTAGAAAGAGGAACAATATATTCCTCATATATATATATATATATATATATATATGTCTCGTTGAAAAGCGCGTGGCTTTTATAATTATAATTATTATATATATACATATTTACAGAATCTTTCTCTATTAATGATATAAATTCATAAATTTACACATATGTAATATGTAAAACTGTTTGTTAAATACAATAAATTGATAAAATAGATTTCTACGAAATAATAATTGTTACTGAATTCTTTGTTTTGCTTGCATGGAACCTAACGTTTTTTGCATTCATAAATTAAATACCTATACTTGCAATCAGCTGCGTGCAATAATCACCGTGCAAACAGCGTCATTCTAAAGTATATATACATATATATATATACAGGGAATGGAAGTAACTCGTTACTTGTAACGAAGTTACAGTTACAAGTTACTTTTTTGGTAACTTTACTGGTAACTGCGTTACTTTCTTTTTTTGGTAACTGTAACGGTAACGAGTTACATTTTTTGGGTAACGGTAACGAAATTTACAGTTACTTTTTTCGTTACTTTGCACACGATTGAACACGGTTCGATTGGATACATGCTATTTAGCGCTTATCAATATGACTTGAAAGCCCTTAGACATTCGGCCGTTATGATTCAGTAATTATTTTACACTTCTATCTTCTATGTAATACATAGGACATACAAATATTTCAGTTTGCTGCATATTTTACAGGTTTTAGAATTACAAAATTGTGTTTAAAAAAAATTAAAAAATAAATTAAATAATAGTAAAATGAGAAGGGCTATGAACCCAAAAGCGAAACAGTTTAAAAGACGATGACAATAAGTGTCGAAACGTCGTTTGTTTTTATCTTTGTTTTGTTCTAATATATATTTATACATTTAATTACATTGTCATCGTCGTTCTTATCAGAAATAAACTGTTTCATTTTTGGCTCGTAACCCTTCTCATTTTACTTTTATTTAATTTATTATTTGAGCCATTCTACATTGTTTTTTTTTTTAATAAAACTATATATTTGTCAGTATTACATATAAAAAAAAATGCAAAAGTACATTTTTAAATTGATTTTAAAAAAGTAACGGAAAAGTAACGAAAAGTTATTTTTCAAGTAACGGTAACTGTAACGAGTTACTTTTAAAAAGCGATAACTGTAACTGTAACTAGTTACATTTTTTACTCGGTAACGAGTAACTGTAACTAGTTATTTTTAAAAAGTAACTTTCCATTCCCTGTATATATATATATATATATGCATAACTATCTTTTGAAAAATTGTTAATTTGTCAATTACATTAAATATTATCTACAATATTTAATATAAATCCGTATGAAACAATGTTTTAAAATTGTCCAAAAAGCTAAATAAAATAAAATTTATAAAAAATTGATTTTTGTTTGTTTTCTTAAATTACAAAGCTTTATGTATCGTAATAAGAAAAATGTATATGTACATATAATAAAAGTGTGATTTAAATTTTGTAATTACATATTGTTGCGCAATAAGCAAATTTCGAAAAATCTTACTTGCTTATTGAGCTATTAAAGTTTAAATGTCCACAGAATGCAATTTATCACACAATAATAATGCGATAATGTATCGTGTATACATAACAAAAGCTACTTGTGTAATATTTCCGCGAAAGAAAATGGCTTTTAAAATCAATTCGCTCATCGGTAGAATGTGTAATTATTATGCAAACAAGTAATTCTTTTTTTGCATAAAGAAATGATCATATCTTAAAATTGGCGTATCACGCTTTTTTGAAGCCTCTATTCGTTGAGGCTGTTGGTATTCTCTGATTTTGATGTGGTTCCGTATCCGGGGGTTTTTGGGGCCGATAATAACGAATCCGTTCTCAAAAATTGAAAGTTTGAAATAGTTGATCCAATATGACGGACGGAAAAGTAACGGAAATCATAAAGATTGTTCGATTTTGGTGAAATTAGGTTTATTGGTGATTTAGGGGGCGTTCGATACGAATCTTTATTCAAAAATTGAAAGTTTGAAATAGTTGATCCAATATGACAGACAGAAATGTTACGGAAATCCTTAAGATTCTTCGATTTTGTTGAAATTTGGTTACAGGTGGTTTTTGGGGACGTTCGTTACGAATCCGTATTTAAAAATTGAAAGTTCAAAATGGCGTTTCGATTCAGTTTTCTAAAATCTGTTTTCGTTAATCTGGCGGATGGAATATAAGGGGGATTTTGGTTTTAGTGTTTTTGAAGTAGAATTAGCAAAAAAAAGCCCTTCAAGAATATGTACTCGATTTTTCATTTGCTGCTATTTTTCACACTGTGGATCGAATCCTTCGACGTAAATGATGAACAAAAAAATCGGATTCTGGATATTCTTAGAGCAAATAATTCTAGAAACATTTTGAGACCAAAATGATCCCGGCAATTGATTACTTTAATGTACTTTACTCTTGTATACGCGACCCAGCATAACTACACTGTGGGTCGAATTTTTCGACGTAAACGATGAGCAAAAAATTCGGATTGTGAACATTCTTAGAGCAAATAATTCTAGAAACATTTTGAGATCAAAATGATCCCGTCAATTAATTGCTTTAATGTATTTTACTCTTGTACGCGAACCAGCACAACTACACTGTGGGTCGAATTTTTCGACATAAACGGTGAATAAAAAAATAAACTAAATATTGTTTATCAAAATGGTAGAATTAATGTGGCGATCGAAAACAATAATGAAATTCTAAAGGTTTTAAAATTTCAGGGAAATTTTGTATTAGTAGGAATTAGAGGAGTTGTTGATTTCAAAACAAGTTTCAAAGAAACATAATTCATAATATTTAAAAAGAGTATAATAGACCATCGCGCGCGTAGCGCGCGCAAGGAATGTGCTAGTATAATGAAATATGACAAAATCTTCCACTTGCAATTTTTAATTTATATATAGAATTATTTTAGTTATAAGTGTGTGTACATTTTTCATATTTGATATAATTTAGCAAATATATATATATATATTGCATTAAAAGTTGTAATAAAAAAATTTTTTAATTTACAAAATAATAATTACAGAAAAAAGTAGTTTTGCGACAATATACAATGTGATATTATTATGTCGTAAATATGCATTTATTTTCAATGTAAAATACTATTTATGTGAAGCATATATGGTATATAATAGCAAATCATAATAAACATAATTCTGTGTTATAAGTTATCAGCAATCGAAAAATATCAACAGTTGAAAACATAGATACTCTTTAATTATTCTCGAACTTCCAGGAGTTTATTAATAAATACAAAAATTTGTTTGGAGTCAATAATTTTTAACATCTCTTATCGTTTTAAAGACTGTTATACTTACATAAAGATATCTATATATGCAAAAACAATTAATAGAAGCACTTTAACCAATAAAAAATATTCAATATATCTACAGATGGTATTCTGATCTTATGTTTAAAATCATCGAAAGCACAATTTTAAGATACCTATTTATTTTATTGGATGGAATGTTAACATTATCTAGGACTAGCAGACTTAAAATAATTTTAAAAATACGATTGAATTACATATGATACAGTTGTTTTATTATTTAGTGAATAAAGACATTTTTATTTATTTATAATATATGTATATCATACACACATATGTATATTTATTATACATGAATGCATGTATAAATAAAATATTATTACCTATTCACCAAATAATAATCATCACCTATAAGAATTTATTATTTAAATGTGCATCTATCTTTAAATAAGAAATTTTTTTGCAAAAAACAAATATCACCTATAAATTTAATTACGATCACACATGATTCATACGTTATCATATATTTTATTATGTATTATATTATTAAAAAAAGAAGTAATATTTACTCAACATTCATACGTTATCATATATTTTATTATGTATTATATTATTAAAAAAAGAAGTAATATTTACTCAACATATACAGGTTTAGGAAGATAAGCAGTAATTATCGACTATCACATATGTTTAAACTTAAACTTATCATTCTCGGCAATAATAAAATGTAACACGTGTATAAAGATAAAATTAAATATATTGACATTTTTGTTAAAACTTTCACTATCCCGGGTGCCAACATTAATTTCAGCGAATAAATCTAATTATAAATAATACGTACTGAATCGAGTAATTATATGTAATTGTAAAAACAATCCCTTGACAAATAGATTGTACGAAAACAATCCAATATTTTATATTAAAATTATTTGCTCAATTTTGAACTAATTTCTCCTTAACAATAACGTTAAAATATTTGAGGTAAAAAATAAAATATAAATTTATAAATAATTTTATAAATTAATAAAATCTGTTTTATCGACATTGATTAAGTTCGGCCGTCTCTCCAACAATCCTAAAAAAACAGATTATGAATACAGATAGTAAAATAGTTTATACATAATAGAATATTTATTCAGATTTAATAACCTTTGATGAATAAAATATTTGTTAGAATTAGAACGCTTATTTTCTTTTGCTATCAATTGTGTGATGTCTTATTTGACCTTTGATATATTTTTATCTCTTTGGTTTAATATTTATTATATATAAAATATTTGATTAATAAATATAAATATTCGTACGTTACTTTTTTAAACTATTCATGAACTTACTACATTAATTTGATTAACTTTAGACAATAGGTATGTTTGCGTTGCTTGAAATCCCCAAAAATGTTTGCTCTGAAGTTGAGAAAAATAGGGTAAGCAACGCAAACAGACCTTATGTGTTGTTAGATTATCAACAAGGGGGTAACCACTAGCTGAAATATTGTCCTACAGATTACATGATTTTATTTGATTTCATACGATTTCATCTGATAAAAAATAATTTTCTTCACTATATACAGTGTTCATTTGAAAACTTTCCAGCTGATTATCTCGAAAACTAAATCCAGTAGACAAAAATGTTTCAAATAAAAATGGAATGGTGTCGAGGGGGACACGTTTTAGTCACGTTGTTTTTTTTCTAAGTGGAGGCGCTAAAAGGATATGAAGGTCACTTCCACTTTTTTAAATGGAATATTTTTTAGATAACGTAATTTCTCTAATTATTTTGCATATAAAAGTATTAAGGTAGAGATACCAAAAAACCAATAGTTTTCGAGATATTTTACACTTTATTTTGATACATATTGACACAAAATGTTAAATAACTCGTAAACTGTTAACTTTTTGATTATCGTACCTTAATACTTTTGTGAACAGAATAATGAGATAAATCAAATGGTGTAAAGAAAACACATAGTTGCTTTAAAAAAATATGTATACAAAATGGATAATTTTTTAAATACGCATCCCCCTCGACACAGTTCCATTTTTATTTGAAACATTTTTGTCCACTCTGGATTTAGTTTTCGAGATAATCAGCTGGAAAGTTTTCAAATGAACACCCTGTATATGAAGTTATTTAGTAAAATAAACGATTATATCTGATATTATATAATTATTTCTTGTAATTGCATATGTAATTATCGGATTATACATAAGGATTTCATATGAATCTTATACTGATTTCAGGAATTCTATCTCACGATTACATTATGTGGTTACCTCCTCAATTATCAAGCAGTGCGATATATTCTTGATGTTACCATCATTACAGGTCTTTAATTTGATGGTTTTGAAGTCAAGAATTGTAAAGAATATTATTATTTGCGAATTACATTAAAATAACATTGAAAAGTAATTCTTTTTTATTTGTTTTTCGTTAAATTTTCAATTAAATAAAAAATAACATTCGTATATATATATTATGCACTTACGTGCAGCAAATGGTTCTGATAAAATATCTGTAATCATTGTAAAATGATTAAATATTTTATATAGTAAAATATTACTGAAGTAGAAATTATGATAAGATAACAGATAGCAACTGAATAAAATTGCGTACAGCATCAAACATTAATGTTATTTGTCAACCATAAATGATATCGTATATAAGCACGTATATATATATTCGGGTTATTTAAAAAATAATCACTTTATTTCCGATTTTATTGGCCCACAGAACTACGACTTTATCGAGTGATCATGTTGCTACTAATATTTCTCATCTCGATTCTGGCATCCACAAATGCTGGACTTCTAAATAACTTAATAAATGAAATACCTAAATTGAATCCATTAGAACAGATACCATTTATTCCGGATTTGTTAATACCTACAATTCCTGAAGAGGCACGGTTTACTACGGTAAGTAAAACTTTATTTTCATTTAGTACAAATTTGAGTAACAGATTGTATAAGAGTAACTTTCATCATATCTAAAACGTAATTATTAAATAATTTTTATGTTTGTGTAGTAAATTAATAATATTTGTGTAGTAATTAATTAAATTAATAAGAAAAGTTATATATTTTATTAATAAATATATTTTAATTAATTATATATTTTAATTAATTCTATCATGTATAAAGAAAGTTTTAAACTAAACTTATATACACTACTCTCAATAAAAAGTAGGGAACACTTTCGAACACGCTCAAAATTGCACAATATTCAAACAAGTCGGTGAAAAATCATTGCAGACAAAAAATGAAACAAGTTTTTGAAAGACTTTACGACTTTAAGACATTAAGCATTGAAACCTCTATATATTTTGAAATCAGTAATTGTCATTTCAATCTTTTTATATACAATTTTTAGATTTGACTGATATCCATTTATGTCCGTATAATTTCGTAAGGAATCAAGATTGAAATATCAATTATCAATTTCGAAAATAGAGATTTTAACCTTTAAAATGCTTTTTATTTTTAATTGTCTGCGACGATTTTGTACTGTTATAGTGTTCTGAGAATGTTGCACAATTTTAAGTGTGTTTTAAAATATTCCTAATTTTTTAGTAGTATATATATACAGGGTGGGCCATTTTAATCTCCCCACCTGAATTTCTCGAAAACTAAATCCTGTAGACAAAAATGGTTCAAATAAAAATTGAACGGTATCGAGGGGGACACGTTTTAGTCACATTGTTTTTTTTCTAAGTGGAGGAGCTAAAAAGATATGAAGGTCACATCCACTTTTTTAAATGGAATTATGTAATTTTTTTTAGATAACGTGATTTCTCTAATTATTTTGCATATAAAAGTATTAAGGTAGGTAGACATACCAAAAAACCAATAGTTTTCGAGATATTTTACACTTTATTTTGATACATATTGACACAAAATGTTTAATAACTCGTAAACTGTTGACTTTTTGATTATCGTACCTTAATACTTTTGTGAACAGAATAATGAGGTAAATCAAGTGGTATAAAAAAAACAAATAGTTGCGTATTTAAAAAATTATCCATTTTGTATACATTTTTTTTTAAAGCAACTATGTGTTTTCTTTACACCATTTGATTTATCTCATTATTCTGTTCACAAAAGTATTAAGGTACGATAATCAAAAAGTCAACAGTTTACGAGTTATTAAACATTTTGTGTCAATATGTATCAAAATAAAGTGTAAAATATCTCGAAAACTATTGGTTTTTTGGTATCTCTATCTTAATACTTTTATATGCAAAATAATTAGAGGAATCACGTTATCTAAAAAAATTACATAATTCCATTTAAAAAAGTGGAGGTGACCTTCATATCTTTTTAGCGCCTCCACTTAGAAAAAAAACAACGTGACTAAAACGTGTCCCCCTCGATACCGTTCCATTTTTATTTGAAACATTTTTGTCTACAGGATTTAGTTTTCGCGAAATTCAGGTGGGGAAATTAAAATAGCCCACCCTGTATATATATATTGATTTAAAAAATTTGTTTGACAAATTTTTATTGATTACATTGGATGTCACATACACATACGCGCGCGCGAGCGCATGTACGCAGAAATGTTTTTTATTAAAATAATTTAATAAATTAAATCTGATTTATTAATTGCGTATGTGTGTGTGAATATCTATTCGTTTTGATAATGGTTTTCATTTGTATCAATATTTAACTCTATATAGAACAAATTAATTTGAATTAGATACAGCTGTCATTTTATTGTACAGATGGAATTTATAAATAAATATGGTTACGATGGTGAGACACATAAAGTGACTACTAAAGACGGTTATATTTTGGAACTGCACCGGATAACAGGACAAACTAATTTCAACAACTCGCAAGTGCAAAAACCTGTGGTATTTGTGATGCACGGTATTTTGTGCAGTTCGGTGTGTTGGGTCATTTCTAGACCGGAGAGAAGTATAGGTGAAGAAAGCATGTGTGTATGTGTGTGCATTGTTAAAAAGAAAGAAAGCCAATTTCTATCGACGTAGATTAATTTTAACCTTGATAACTATTTATCTTTTTCTTATAATTCTTAGAACTAGTAATGTATAAATATAATAAGTAATAACATATAAAATAATGTTAAAACATTTCAGTTTTCAAATGAGAAGAATTAATTTTGCACAAACATTAATCATCTATTTATATTAAATATTAAGTTGCTTTTTTACAATAAGATAAAGAGAGTTTAATTTTCAATTCTAATCATGGTAATTATAAATTAAAAATTATGTATATATGCTGTACACATTAATTTATTTCTACTTCATATAAAATATTAAAATTTCTTAAAAAATAAAATTATAAAATATTTTTAATATGAAATATATTAACTTATTATTATTTATTAGTTAATAAATAATAACTGTGCAAAGATCATCTTTACATTATTTCAGAATTGAATTTTGTGTTATATTCAGATTTTTTGAAAAGAAAAAAGTCATTGATTCAATAATATTTATCAATTTTCGTTTCATTATCTACATTACTGACTAACGCACTTGTTTTAATCATTTTGATATTGATATTTTAGCGTTCCTTCTGGTGAATGAGGGCTATGATGTATGGCTCGGTAACACACGTGGCAATTCATACGCTAATAATCATACATCTCATAATATCAAGGAGAAAGATTACTGGAATTTCAGGTGAGAATTGATGTACATATGTGTGTATGTATGTATGTGCGTAAATATATGGTATGCATAAAGTAGAACGAAGAAGATACAAAATAAATATAACATTCACGCAGCATGGTTAACAATAAAATTTTAATTAGCAAATAATGTGAAAGAATTATGGCATAGAAATATTAATATCTCTAATCTAATCTAACAGCCAGAGAAAAGAAGTTCACGTTTAAACATATGGATCAACTTTATTTTCTTCATTTTTTATAAAAATAAATTTTGTAAAGAATAAATAAAATAAAATAATTTTAATGATTTTTTGTAAATTTTCTTGTAATTAGAGTTCGACCGAAATTAAGAGAAAATTAAGTAAACTGAAACTGTACAAATTGTACACACCGCGGTGAGAATTCAAAAAACTATGTATGTTATCATCGGCAAATCGATGCTGATTGTTGCAAATCACGCCGGTGCTATCTCTTCTTTATTTTTTTTTATCCACCAAGTTGCCACATGTTTAGAAAGAATAATAAGATATTAATAAAATCTTTTTTTTTTTAAAAAAGTATATAAATTTCAAAACTTCAATTTCAATGCTTGGATAACAAAAACTTTTGTACAATTCAAAAATAAACTCGGAAAGAAAAAGACACTAGGAGTTAAGCGCAGATAAATGTACGCAAACGCTGATATATTATATATCAAGCAAAACCTGTTTATTACAATAATTGTGCTTACATGTTTCGGCTCATTTTTGAGCCTTCTTCAGACCATGTAAATTACATAAATAAATTATAAATTAAAAATAACATAAAGGATCAAAAGATGTTTAACCACAGTGAGCTTCCCCACCATCGAGAAATAAAATCTAATGTCGATTTCATTTTACAGAACACACTAATATAAATAATTAAAGAAGAAATAATATAGAAAACTGAAATTCTGGGGAAAAATTTTAATTTCCTAGAGTTTCCCGGGAAAATAATTTCGAAAATAGATTTATATCGTAATTACAACTATTCTACCGGGAGTGAGGAGGCTCACTATGTTCACAACGATACCGTATCGCAAACATTCTCAAAACCGGTCTTCAGAATAATTTACTTTTTACTAATATTCCCATTGATTATGGATTGTATTAAAAATAGTTGGCAGTTTATCTCCAGGAATTGTTGCTTACCAGAAGAGGATTTCATTAAAGCGGTATATTATATTTTGCATTCCACCTATTTTGTTTTTGATAGCGTTATGTATAAGCAGAACTATGGTACTCCTATGGGTTCTCCGTTGTCCCCGGTCATCGCGGATCTGGTTATGCGGAGATTAGAAGATAGAGCTTTATCTTTGATTAATTTTCAAATGCCCTTTTATTATAGATATGTTGACGACATAATTTTGGCAGCACCACTTTCATTGGTTAATTATATTCTTGACATTTTTAACTCTCAGCATCTTAGACTTCGGTTCTTTATGAAGATAGGGGGAGACAGATTGAATTATTTGGATGTTACAGTTATTAGGGATAATGAAGTGATAGAGTTTGATTGGTACCATAAGCCGACATTTTCGGGTGGATATTTGAATTTTTGGTCACAGCATCCGGTTTCTTACAAGAGATGTACAATAATGGGTTTAGTTGACAGAGTTTGATTTTACTTTCGAATCCAAAATTTCATTTTGACAATTTTTGTTTTATAATTAAGATCTTATTAGAGAATGATTTCCACTAAATTTTATATTTGAAAATATTAACAATCGCTTGAAGAATATTATTATGGCTCGAAATAAAAATAAAGTTGTTGAAAAGGATAGTCGAGATGTAGTGCGACCCTCATGGTTCACCGTACCTTTCGTGAAAGGTATTACTGAGAAGTTCAACAGATTGAATAATAGTCATTTAAGAGTGTCATATTTACAGTAGTAATAAATTGCGTGAATTTATTAGAGTGCATAAAGATCCTTTGCCTCGTGAAAAGAAGTCAGGAGTTGTTTATAAAATTTCTTATAAGAATTGCGATGCAAGTTATGTGGGACAAACGTGTAGACAACTAAAGTCGAGAATTACGGAACATAAAAATCGTATCAGTTGGAACACGTCCACCCGCAGCGTCATAACTGAACACCGGCTGCATGAGGACCATGAATTTGATTGGGACGTCAGAATATTGGATGAGGAACCACACTATGGAAAAAGACTGGTTTCGGAAATGATATCCATCAGGAGACAAGTACACGGACTTAATTTACAAACGGACATGGAGGGGCTTCCCAAGGTCTACTTCCCGATCATAGACAAGTTATAAATAGCGTTGTTGTCTGTCACATCTGTCTAGTCAGTCTCGCTTGTGCACAGTAGCTGAGTCTTAGCTTTTGATATTTGCATTTTTGATAATTTAAATTTAATACCGTCAAACAATTTGTAGTGACTCACTGTGTCTGAGACTGATTGGCCTAAATTATTCTAAAGACCGGTTTTGAGAATGTTTACGATACGGTATCGTTGTGAACATAGTGAGCCTCCTCACTCCCGGTGGAATAATTGTAATTACGATATAAATCTATTTTCGAAATTATTTTTCCGGAAAACTCTAGGAAATTAAATTTTTTTTCCCAGAATTTCAGTTTTCTATATTATTTCTTCTTTAATTATTTATATTAGTGTGTTCTGTAAAATGAAATCGACATTAGATTTTATTTCTCGATGGTGGGGAAGCTCACTGTGGTTAAACATCTTTTGATCCTTTATGTTATTTTTAATTTATAATTTATTTATGAAATTTACATTGTCTCTGAAGAAGGCTCGAAAATGAGCCGAAACATATAAGCACAATTATTGTAATAAATAGGTTTTGCTTGATATATAAAAGAGAGAGAGAGAGAGAGAGAGAGAGAGAGAGAGAGAGAGAGAGAGAGAGAGAGAGAGAGAGCATTTGCGTAAATTTATCTGCGCTTAACTCCAATAGTGCCCTTTTCTTTCCGAGTTTATATAAATTTCACATACTTTCACATTTTCCAATAACTCTCTAAAAATCATATAGTATTTGTAAAATTTTGATTTCGGCCGAAATTGAATGAAAACCAAATATTCGTTTTCGGTTTCAGCCGAAGGTAAAAAAGTAATATCAAAGCTTATTGGACTATGATAGTTTAAATTAATAAGTACCGATGAGAACATGCTATAACGGTCAAGCTGGATCTTGGATGCTTCTAATATAATGAAATAAGAAGCTTCTATCAGGTCATTTCAATAAACGAGCTTTGAAAGGTGTAAATACATAATAAACTTTATTACAAAAAACTGTAAATAATTAATTTATGTTGCGAAAAACATTGTCTCGACCGGGAGTCGAATCCGGATCTCGCACGGAATGCCAGAGATCCGGGTTCGACTCACGGCCGAGGTAATATTTTTCGCAATATAAATTAATTATTTACAGTTTTTTTAATATCTATGTTATTCATAGATTTTAATATGTCATTCAATATTATTAAAATCCAAGATGCTATAAGCATAAAAATTGTTAGATTGTTGGTCAATTTAACTTGTGATAGTATTGCGATAGTTTATCAGAGTTTGTGTTGTAAGTCTGAAAAAAATTTCGGTGCGCATTCTTAAGAATTTATACATACGTAGTATATAAATTCACACAAAATTATATATTAGAAGCATCTAAGATCCAGCTTGACCGTTATGGCATGTTCTTATTGGTACTTATTAGTAAAAAAATAATTTCGATCGGACTCTATATACAATATTACAATATAATTTTTTAATAATATCATATACCTAAACTTGATAGCACTAGAATTAATTAAATGAATAATGATATATCATATACATATATTTGAAATAAAAAATCTTTCACATTTTTTTACTTTATTTATTAATATGATTAAAATAATAATAATTTTGATGTGTGTACAGATAATGGATGCAAAGCTATATTATATGTATATATTATATAATATGTATTTATTATTTATCCCTTTAACTTGCACGTATATTAATCACGATTTTGAAGAATATGATAATTTCATAACAATAAGATGTAATTAATAAATATAACAGGTGTTTATAATCGAATCTACTTTTACATTTATAGATAATCGTAAATAAGAGGCAGCAAATCAGGACAGTTCGAAAATCTTTGTACATACGTCACCCTTTATTTCACTTTGTGACAGAATTGGAGAATTAATTTCTTCTTTGATAATGATGAAGTCTACAGTTTTCGAACAACTAATAATTACAAAAATTAAAGAATAATGAAACTATATTTTTCACCTCAAGTTCAAGATTTCATAAAAAATTTAATTTAATGCTTAATTAAAAAAAATATTAAAACATTTTTGTTACAATAAAATTGTCACAACAGTTTTCAACAAAGTTCAGTCATTGTTCTACGGATTTCACGAACAAATAAATAAGATAAAAATTTGAGAGAACAATTTTGGTCTAAAAAATTTGTATTTATCTTGAAAAAAAACATATTGTTCTAACAATTTGTAATTTCGTAAAAAAAATTTATTATTTTCGATTATTCGATTACGACAAACTTAAAAGGCACGTTAAACATATTACACAAAGAAATTAGTATTTTCATCTTCGCGAAAAAAACATGTAAAAGTGCATTATATACAAAAACAGCATAGATATATTATATAAGTCAATAAGAATCTATATAAATAATAAAATTACAATTTGGCACACAAGAATAATATTTTCGACTTTTAATACTTAATTTTTTGCAGCTAAATACAGTAATTCATGTAAGTACATTCTTTTATTGCATATTACAGCTGGCACGAGATTGGCATATATGATCTTCCAGCAATGATAGACCATATTGTAAAAACCACTGGCCAGAAGAAAATTTTCTATATAGGGCACAGTCAAGGTACCACCTCCTTCTTTGTCATGGCGACAAAACGACCTAAATATCAGAATTATATCAAGGAGATGTATGCTCTAGCCCCGATTGCTTATTGCGGTAGAATGAAGAGTCCCTTTCTGCAAATACTGGCACAGTTTACCGGTATTGACGTACGTAATTTCTAGATAAAAAAATTGATTTTGATCGATCTGAAATATTATCTGTATTTGACAATATGAATGTATGATTGCAGCAATATTTCTGGAATTTAATTGGTATGTACAAATTCAATCCTAATGACGATTTCATGAAAACAATTCGACAATTAGTGTGCGCGGAAAAAGCTGCTACTCAACAAATATGTTCTAATTTTATGTTTTTACTATGTGGATTCAACGTTGAACAATTTGATATGGTACAGGATTTATTAATTTAAAAATTACTTACATATCTATTAGTCGTATTATTATGTCGATTAATGTCAGTTGTTACACACACACACACACACACACGCACGCACGCACGCACGCACGCACGCACGCACGCACGCACGCACGCACGCACGCACGCACGCACGCACGCACGCACGCACGCACGCACGCACGCACGCACGCACGCACGCACGCACGCACGCACGCACGCACGCACGCACGCACGCACGCACGCACGCACGCACGCACGCACGCACGCACGCACGCACGCACGCACGCACGCACGCACGCACGCACGCACGCACGCACGCACGCACGCACGCACGCACGCACGCACGCACGCACGCACGCACGCACGCACGCACGCACGCACGCACGCACGCACGCACGCACGCACGCACGCACGCACGCACGCACGCACGCACGCACGCACGCACGCACGCACGCACGCACGCACGCACGCACGCACGCACGCACGCACGCACGCACGCACGCACGCACGCACGCACGCACGCACGCACGCACGCACGCACGCACGCACGCACGCACGCACGCACGCACGCACGCACGCACGCACGCACGCACGCACGCACGCACGCACGCACGCACGCACGCACGCACGCACGCACGCACGCACGCACGCACGCACGCACGCACGCACGCACGCACGCACGCACGCACGCACGCACGCACACACGCACACACGCACACACACACACAGACACACACACACACACACACACGCACGCACGCACACACACACACACACGCACACACCATACACACGCACACACGCATGCGCACACGCACACATACAATATATATATACGTACATTGTAAAAAATAAAATGTTAATTTTAATTCAAAGACGTTGAGTGGATTTTCTGAGCATGCAAAAATGTTAAAATTAACATACATATAATTTAATAATTTATACTATATACATACACATAAAATTTATATTGGTATTATTTCTCTAGACTCTTTTACCAATTATCGCAGCACAGTTTCCTGTTAGTATATCCACGAAACAACTTGTCCATTACGGGCAGCTCATTCAGTCCGGTAAACGTGTACATTTTTTATTATTTATTAATAATAAATTTAGTAGACATTGGTCTATTTTTTTATACTCGAAAAATCTGATTGAAGTAAAAAAAAGTCGATTTTTGTCGAGGTTGATATTTTTCATTTTTATTAAAAATTTTATTAAAAAATTCTCCAATAATCTCAGTACAAATACAAATATTTCAAGCCGTATTTGATATGGTCATAATTTTTGTTCTATTTAAAAAATTTTTTCAAAATATTAAATCTATTATTTAATGTTCGTAGATTTTTAATCTGCTGTTGATGAGTTACATAAATCACGTTATTTCATAACGACACTAGAGAATATATTTTCGATTTTACAATTATTTAAGGAATGCGGATTTATAGTATAGGAATATTATTTAAATAATGTCTTTTAGAATATGTAAAGATATTTATTAATAAATGTTGGATCATTTACTTATTTTAATTTACATTGTAAAATTTATTAATAAATAAAAAAAAATAATCAAATGTTTATTAATAAATATCTTCACATATTCTAAAAGACATTCTTATTCAAATAATATTCCTATAAATCCGCATTCTCTAAATAATTGTGAAATCAAAAATATATTTTCTAGTGTCGTTATAAAATAACATTATTTATGTAACTCATCAACAACAGATTAAAAATCTATGAACATTAAATAATAGGTTTAATATTATGAAAAATAAAAAAAATGCAACAGAAATTATAATCAAATACGGCTTGAAATACGGCTTTTTAATTAAAAAATTAGTAAAAAGATCGGCAGAGATCAGTGACGAAAAAAGACCGTTCAAATTGGAATATATATATATAAAGAACTATTGTGTAATATTAATTATATTAAAATTTCTTAAACATGTTTCTTGTAATAACTGCAGTAAATCTGTCAACAGGTTCGCTATTATTGTCACCGGGGAAATTTAAACAATTCGACTATGGAATATTAGGTAACACAAATACATACAAGTTACTCTCTCCACCGAATTACGACTTAAGCAATATCAAAGCTCCGGTATATCTATTTTATAGTGATAACGATTGGTTAGCGAATGTCAAGGTTCGTATTTCTATTTTTGCTTTGAAAAAATTGTTTATTTGACTAAATTAATATGATCGTTTTTATATCGTTTGTTGGAAAATGTATGTATTTAAGTCAAATATGTAAATTGTTTGATTTAATATATTCTTCATCGAAAGAAAAATTAAAACGAACTAAATTATAATATTAGATTAGCGTAAAAGAGAGAGAGAGAGTTCGTGCTCGATTTCAAAATTAATAATAAATCGAATACAAACGTTTGTATTAATCTAATATAATATAATAATTTAGTCAAATAGATAATTTTTCCAGTGTTTAATTCATTCATTTTTAGAATCTTCATATTAACGTTTGTCAAGGAATTAAAATATCTTTTCATTTTTGAAGCTGGATTTAAGCGTTAAAGTGATTAATCGATCTCCATTAATGCTCAATTACAACAAATTGAAAAAATCAAATTTAGTGATGCTACATTTATCAATTTCACTCAAAACTAGTTTATATGCTTCAATAAAATCACAAGTATAAATATGGATCGAAATATAGTCACGCGATTGTATCCAAAGATCAAGCGTCAAATGAAAGTAGCGTCACATTTCTGCAAATAGTTTTAGTTACATTGTGATTCTTTCGTAGGATGTGGAAAAATTATATAGTGAGCTGGGTAATCCGTCCGGTAAAACTTTGATTGCGCATAAGAAATTTAATCATATAGACTACATGTGGGCTAAGGATGTGAAGAAGCTTTTATATGACCGGCTAATCAGAAGAATGAAGAAGTCCTCATAATATAAAGTGCCTCATAATAAAGAGTCTATTTTTCTAAATTTTTACAGTGATTAATCTACGAAATTTCATCAAGAATATACCTTTCTCGTCGACACAATTATTTTGTTCCAAAATGAATATAATTTATATATACCAGTTTGAGTTATCAAATCAATATCTTTTGTCAGTAATGCTCACATTTTCATAAAATATTGATCTATTTTAAATGTGCTATATATCTTGTATTATACACTCATTCCTATAATTTCCTCTTCTCTCGTAAGTTTATTAAAACCATTGAAAACAATATAAATGGTCGTCCTGACAATATAATTAACTTTGTTAGAATTTGCAACTTCGATTCTTAAGAAATTTCTTAATGAGTTTCTCATAACTGACTCTAATAATAAATTATTGTTAAATTGGTTTAAGTTAACTAAAAAAATTCGTAAAAGATCATCCTGAAATATTAATTACTAAAGCTGATAAAGGGAATGTCACTGTTGTTTTAAATAAAGTTGATTATATGTCAAAGATGGAAATGATGCTTTCAGACACTAATACATATAAAGTAATAGCTAAAGACCCAACTAAAAAACTTATTGGTGACTTACGCAGCTTACTTAGCAGGTGGAAAGGAAAAAAAAATTATTGATGACTCTACATATCGGAGATTACTTGCGACTGATGGCAGTATTCCTAAAGCATATGGATTAACAAAGATCCACAAACAGGACTATCCTCTTAGAATTATTGTTTCATCTGTAAATAGCTCACTATATAATTTTTATCGTTATTTTTACATATTATTAATGACTCCATACCGGAAGCTCCCAATCATATAAAAAATAGTTTTCATCTTATTAAAAAATTAAAAGATGTCAACCTCGGGCCAGATTCTTTCATCAAAGAAAACTAAAATTCTGTTAGACGAATTTTTAATTGTCTTTCGAATAATTTTAAATTCCACAAATTCATTTTTAATAACAAAATTTACAAATATTTGGGACTCTTATGAGGTCATTTTTATCACCAGTTGTTGCGAATATGGTAACGCAACAAATCTTAAAGGAAATTGCAATTGAAATGTTGCCTGTTCGGTTATTTTATTATTGATATGTTAATGATATTATATATATTATTTTAATTGCTTCATCTGAAAATATTAATGAAATATTGGGAATTTTTAATTCTTTACATACTGCAGTTTACTGAAAGTTGCAAACGAATAGAGATTTATTTTCGACGAATATCATAAAGCAACTTTTTCTGGTAGATTCCTTAATTTTTATTCGTACCATCCGTTTTGTCATAAGAGAGGTATAATTTATGGAGTTGTAGACAAAATAATTCGTTTATGTCATTCTCAGTTCCAGCAGAATAATCTAATTAATTAATATTTATTAATATTTTTTTAAATAATGGATATCCACTACCATTTATTTTTTCGACTATTTATGGTAAAATAGAATTAAATTTTACATTAACAATAGTAATAGTTCCAATAATAAAAATGTTAAATATGATAAAAAATTTTTTTACAATTCCATATGTAAATTTTATATCAGAAAAATTTACACAATTTAACATGTTTAACTGTAAATTGGCCTTTATTACTCCAAACACATTAAAAAAACTTAAAAAGAGTAAAGGATTAGCTGGAACTTATATATAATCAAAACGTTGTTTGCAAGATTTCTTGTGACAATTGTGATATCTATTAGTTAAGTAGGCCAAACGAAGAGACAATTAAAGACAAAACTGCATGAGCACGTTTCAGATATTAATAAAAAATCAAAATATCCATTGGTGATTTCCAACTATCGTGAAGAGAATCACAACTTCAAATGGGATAAGACGAATATTTTGGATATCGAGTCTTCATATTGTGACGGCCTGCCACCAGAGGTTCAAAGGAAGGAACTCGCGCCAATTTCTCGCATGTACTCTCGAGACGAAATCCTTACATATAGAACCTCGATCTAAGACTCCCCCAGGCGTTTAAAGCTCGTGGCACATAGAAAAACGTAAGGCCGTAAACGTAATCAGTAAGCGAATTGACCAATCACAGTTGAGAACGTAAGCGGCGGCAGTTTTTACGAATCGACATGAACAGGTAAAAACAGTAAAAAAAACTTAGCCTGTTTGATTGTTGACATCGAGCTCAGTCTTCACGTCGGATCATGTCGGGTTGTGTATGTAATGCGTTTTTTACAAGTGATTTAGAAATAAATAATTAACTAGTATTAATTAATAACGATTTATGCCTGGTTTATGCTTCAGGTCTTAATCTCAAGATCCTAAAATTCAACCAATTAAGCTGCCAGTTCTAACCGAAATTTGAACTCTATTGGCTGAATTTTAGGATTAAGTCCTTAAGACTGAAGCATAAACCAGGCAAGAATCGTTCGTAAATTGTTCCGTGTGGTGTCGACAAGTATATCGATTAAATTTAGTAAATCAATGAAAGTGTTACAACTAGTGAAAGTGTTTTAGATACTATATATTTGTAAAAGAAAAACGAATTTCTGTTTTATTACTTGACATTAGTTTGTCACAAAAGGCTCTTTAGTCTTTGTATTGCTTTTCCAGTTCTTCCGATTGTGAAAGTTATTATATTGTCAAGTTAAAACAGTATAATGATAACTAATCTCTGCAAGGTAAGCGACAGAGAGAGAGAGAGAGAGAGGTGTGTGTGTCGTGAAACTAAATTAATTTAAATTAAAGAATAACTCTATGTCCTTGATCGCAATGAGTGCCCCTCGTGTTCGTTCGCGTCGGACTGTGAGTGCGCCGCCCCTGCTTACCTTCTGTTTGCGGATCGTAATTCGCTAACTTTATCTTTTAATAATTCAAAAAGTAAGCGTCGGATAAAATTTTCGTAAAGGAAAAATCGTCTCAGAATTCAGTCAGGAACACGTCTTTACAAGGACACCGGGGTCGTTCTGAATCACTCTGTATAAAAAGACAGAAACATGGAATTAATAAACAAAATGACACGGACTCATTGCTTGAATTCTAACATCATACATTTTTTTTCCCCTTCCTGTCATCATCTGTTCATAGTTTTTGTTTTCCTTCTTGACATTACGTTATTTAACATCGTCAAAATCTGCACTTGTTCTTTACTTCTTTTTCAGTTTTGCTCCAACGAATTTAGGAAGACAATTACTGTGTATTATCACGATGAATTTTTTTGCGTTTTTTATTTATTAACTCTCAACGTTTTATTTTAAAAGATACATTAAACAAAAATTTTCTTTGTTAACGGTCGCTTTTTATATTATTACTGCGCTATGAATTTTTCAATGACCGATTTTACTATTTTAATTGATTGACTTGCAACATTATGATAATGGAAGAAAGTGATAATGCCACTATGAAGCAATATTTTGTAGATTTCCAATTATTTTATAATAAGATATTTACTGTAACGAGAATGACCCGATCGGTGTCAAAATGTTTGTAATTATTTTTATATTTTAAATTAAACGTTCTTTATTATATAACTTAACTCTTAGCCCTTCAATTGTTCTATTTTGTTTTATAATGCTTTAGACTTATAATGCTAATAAGTCAATGAGTCGTATTCATTCATTCTTGTATTAAGGCCGTTTTAAGTAATGTCTTAAGATGTTAATATCTGATTGATTCATGACATCTTAAGACTGTACTTCAAACAATCTTAAATATAAGATCCATAAATCCGATCCATGAATATCGGTCGATGATTAAATTAAAACAAATAAAGTTATACACATAAGTATCAATTAATAAGAATATAAAGATATGACATAAAGAAAAATAATTTCTACGAAATGGAAAATTTGTGAAATCAGTTTTCAAATCACTAATTATAAAGGATTTTCTTATCTGTCTGCATTCGATCAGTAGTGACTAGTTACGATCAGTTCTTTTGTTTCTTTCAAAGCAATAAAGACGAATGCGCAAAAACTTTGTATTATTTTACGGATAAACAATTGATCCATCATTTGATAACAGTCAATAAAATCTTTTCTTTTCCAACATCTTAATCACAGCTTAATACCTCAATATCGTATTGTCAAATCAGAAATTATAACGAATAGATTACGATAGATAATATTGATATGATCACATAAAACAGCAAACACTCCAGTGATCTTTTCAGTAAATAAGCAGTACTGTTTATACGTTGCGCATTCAGGAGGAAAATCGTACATAATACAATTCGAACCGATTAATTTTTGCATAACGATTTCATCAAGCGACAATAATGCCGCTACCGATCTTTCTTCTCTCGATTCTGGCGTCCGCCTGCGCAACATCGTACTTTTCAATGGACCAGCTACCCAGTATCATGTCAATAGACAAAATACCGGCAATCAAGGAACTCGACAATCCGCAATTTTTGACCACACACGCAGATGCATCGCTTACCGCTGTAAGTACAATTGTCAAAATTGAAAGTAAACTATAAAAAAAAGAATTATGAAAATATAATTTCTCGGATAAAAGTTGAAACAAGGTAATTTTTTGAAATTACCTTGAAATGTATTTTTCTTATCGCTAATGCAATTATACAAATATCTTAACGATCTATCAATTCAATAAAAAAATAATATAGTAATTTATTTGTATTTCTAAGGTTTTTTGATAAAATTATTTAAACTTTTTTAATTGTATTGAACAATTTTAACAAATATTGTTATATATTTATAAAAAATATTGTTATTTGTAACATATAAACACAATAAATCAAATTTCGAAAATTATTTTTATCAATCTTTCAATATCAATTAATCTATCGATCAGAAAATCATTATATCATTGAACAGCTAGGACTAGTAAAAAAATACGGTTACAATGGAGAGCAGCACAAGGTGGTCACCTCTGACGGTTACATTTTGAAATTGCATCGGATAACAGGACAAACTAATTTTAACAACTCGCAAGTGCAAGTACAAAAACCTGTGGTATTTATAATGCACGGTCTATTGTGCAGTTCAGCATGTTTTATCATTGCCGGACCGGAGAAAGGTTTAGGTAAAAAAAAATCACATTTTTAATGAAGCATTTCAATTCCTAAACAGAAATGTATTCGTTTAAAAGCTGTACACAAAAAAAATTGAGCAACAAGACATAAGTAGTAAACAAATCAACATTTTAGATTCATTGTTTATGTTATTGTATTACTCTTTTAAGCTTAAGCATACAGATGACCGTAATTGAGGTGTAGAACATAAGTCGTAGTTGTAAATTGATTAAATTACTGTGTGTTGACCTACGACTACACTCGTGTTTTACAATTCAATTACAACCACCTTCGCGCTGAACACCTACTAGTGATTGACCAATTCGTTTATTGTTTACGTCTTAGGGCCATGGCACATAAAAAGACTTAAACAGTAAAAGCAAATTGTAAGCAGTCAGCAAATTGACCAATCACAGTTCGTAAGGTCGTAATATAAGCAGTAGCCAATTCAACATTTTGATTTCCTTATTGCTTATGTCTTACTGTTTTAAGTCTTTTGTGTTACATAGCCATCTTTACACGTGTCTTCATACGTTTTAAAAGAAATTATACTGATCTGTAGTGTTTCCAAATAAATAAAGTGTTGTTTTAAAATAAAATGTTGCAACTTGATTAAATATTGAAAAAAATTACTAATTTTTTGCAACTTTTCATCCCAGCGTTTACTTTAATAAAATTATATCCTTTGAAATTTTAGCTTTTGTTCTGGCGGACGCAGGATACGACGTGTGGCTCGGTAATGCACGTGGCAATGTATATTCACGCAAACATAAACTTCCGGCTATTCAAAAGAAACTTTACTGGGATTTCAGGTGAGACTAATGTATCAAAAAATAAAAATAGTACAGAAAAAAAGAATGCGTACGTAAGAAAAATATTAGTAGCACGTTTGATGATAAATCAACAGCAGTAACTTGATTGATTTGACACAAAAATGTCAAGTATCTTTAATCTTATCTTTAGTAGATATGTTTTATTACCGTCGAATAAAGAAAATTAAGTTGTGAAGTATCTCTCTCTCCCAAGCAAAAATTTAACAGTCTCTTGAAACTATAATAGGCTCACAATTAGCAACGGATAAATTGTAAATATCATTGAAGTGAGAAAATCAAAAGATACAGTGATATTACGTTATATCTTGATCTCTATGCCATAGCAGTCAGTCGAGTAAAGAGCAATTTTTATCACAACTGCATAATGCATACCAATAACGCATCTGTAACAAAACGCGTCATGTGACTTTGTTGTGATAATACTGGAGCTTTTTACTAGATGGAAAACATATTTAAATATATAGCAGCTCTGACGTTTATATTTTTTAAACCATCAAATCAATTTATTAAAATAATGCTATAATGGCAATGACACAATTTTAACAATCGTATTCAATTAAATCGTTTTCAAATTGCTTTATTGTAATCGTGACGTTATCACATTTTGAGAAATCGTATGTATTTACAGGTTAAAAAAATGAACATTCTCATATATCTCTTATATAGCGATATACAAATTTTTATAATTAAATAATTATACTTAGGGAGGTTTAATGTAAGAAATAATATACATCAAAAAGATGCAAAATGATTAAAATACAATATTTGCTTAGCAAAGGATAAAATTATTATTATTACTTCAGGATAAAATGAATCTATATATACATTATCTTAGTAGAGAAAGCTTCTTCCTTCCATTATCTGATTATAATAGATGGTACATCAATATAATAACTAAATAATATTAGAATCAATATATATTAAATTATATAAATATTATAATAACATCAAGCAATATATAAAAAATTCATCTCGGGAATTTACATGATGACATTCGAGATATTACCATATCTCCTGATAAAAATCCGAAATGCATCTGCAATGGAATATTTTTACAGATGCAATAAAAATCGTGATAAAAACACGCAATATCTTAAAACAGATGTTTTAATCGATCAAGTATTATCATTGATAATGTCATGCGATATTTAATGTCGCATTGATTGAAAACATTGGTCTTGTAGATTTAATGTTTATTGAATGTTTATTAGTCAAATATATTATATATTTGCAGTCTAATAAATATTTAACATATTTGTTAGACTCTCTCTCTATAACAAAAATAAAATCACATAATGCGTATAATTTAAGTTTGTATACTATGCATACTATTTAAAATTTTTTAATTTTCTTTGAATATATTCATAATTAATAATTAGAACATAAAAATTCATGAAATCATTCTTCCGGCTTGATTATTCGAGATATTTTGCTTATCAAAAGTGTTTCACTTATTGTTAGATTAAGCAACAATTAAGTGACGATTAAATGACGTAAGAACAAATTTTTATCTTAAATCTAGATTTAGCATCAATCACTTATGAAAATAATATCAAATCTTATTTAGATCGTGAGAGTTTCAAACTAAATACCAATGAGGATTGAGGACAAGCCATTTACGGTTAAGCTGGATCTTAAATGCTTCTAATATAATTTCGGCGCGCATTTAGGGATCTACATACGTAGTATATAAATTCACACACCTATGAAAACTCAACTTCCGTATTCTATTTATATTTATACCTAATCACATACATATTGCATATTTCTAGATAATTGTTTCCCATACCTCTGTTTTTCTAATATAAACTGAAAAATTATCTCTATCCTAGATGAGAATTGACAAATAATTTATAGAAGTCATAAGAATCGTATTTTCTTACAGCTGGCATGAAATTGGCGTATATGACCTTCCAGCTATGATAGATTATGTCGTGAAAACCACTGGTCGCGAAAAAATGTTTTATCTGGGGCATAGCCAAGGTACCACTGCTTTCTTCGTCATGTCAACGGAATTGCCAGAATATCAAAACAAAATCCAGGCGATGTTCGCGTTAGCACCAGTCGCTTTTTGCAGCAGAATGAGAAATCCCATTTTTCAATTCCTGGCAAGATTCTCTAATCCTTTAAACGTATGCAATTTTAAGCTATATATATATAGCTATATATACGATAAATAATGTTGATAAGAAATAACCGGGATTTTTCACCTTTTCCTTTTTTTTTTAATAAACTGAATGTCTCGTTGCAGGAATTGTTAAAATTAATTGGCATTTACGAATTCACGCCTACTAATAAAATCATGAAACAGTTCCAAGAAATGGTATGCGCAGAAGATGCTATCACGCAACCCTTGTGCGCTAATGTGATCTTCTTGATCACTGGATTCAACAAAGATCAGTTTAATATGGTACGATACTGTCTTTAACATACCTTTATCTTATAAAATTTAAAATAAATTGTAAATTCATTTGTTACAGCACTCTATTATTCTTATTAAATAATGTCACAATGATAATTTTTTTTAAATAACCGCAAATTGTATATTCATATAAATTTATTTGAATTAATAACGTCAGTTCATTATTAATTCGATTATTTGTTCATACTTAATGCTGCTGTCATCTTGCAGACTCTTTTACCATTAATTCTGAAACATACTCCGGCTGGCTCAGCCACGAAACAAATAATGCATTACGCACAACTTATCAAAAGTGGTGAGCATCAATTCCATTATAATATTTTGTATATACTATACTCGCATAAAGATAGTGAAATATACAATACATCGTTTATGCAATCCATTATACTACTTCATAAATATTTCTTCAAAATTTATAAAATTATATTGTACATAAATAATTATACATGTATAAAATGTTTTATAAACCACGAATATATTCTCAGGATCTATTATTACATCGGGGAAATTTAGACAATACGACTACTCATTTATCGCCAATTTGATGAAATATGGCACGTTTAATCCTCCGAAATATGACTTGGGAAAAATTAAAGTACCGGTTTCATTGCATTATGGTGCCAACGATTGGTTAGCACATGTGGATGTTCGTATCTTTTTTTTTTTTTTTACAATATAATAGTTTATTTACTTTCAATTATCTCCGAAACATTTGCCAGGATATTTATTTTTTCCATCATATATGCACATGCAAAATAAACTTTTCTACATATTTTTGGATAAAACAAATATTCTGGAAATACTAGAGAGATGCCAAAATTATATAAACTACCATTTTATTTCAATTATACGAAAAAATGATTATATTGTGTTTACATTATATCTTTATTATCTGCAGGATGTTGATCAATTAGAGAAAGAACTTGGCAATCCGCTTGGAAAATTTCTCGTTCCACATGAAAAGTTTAATCATTTGGATTTCATGTGGGCTAAGGATGTTAAAGAACTTTTGTATAACAAGATATTAAATCTGATGACACGTTTCTGAAACCTATTAAGATTTAATGAATTTATTGCGGAGATTAAAATTGTAAAAATCGATTCCGCTTATCGGAGTTCTATTTATTGTAAGACTTATGCTTCTTTAGCTATCGAGTAGAATTATCAATCTACTTTATTTTATCACGAATTTCTTACTGATCCTTGATATTGCTTATGTGCTCACAAAATAATAAATTCGTGATAAAGTTTAAGAATAAGATATTATTATATTTTATATATATCATAATTTTTTCACTTGCTATATATAGAACAAAATTTTTTAATTCATGATTTAACATTGTAAATAATTTTAACGTTGAAATAAATTTTAAATTTAAATTAAACTATTGATACACAAGATGATCGTAAATAAATAACATCAAATATTATCTCTTATTTCAAATTCTAATTATTAAAAGCAATATATTATATATAAAATATCTTTTGGAAGAAATTATCTGTAATAGGAAAACTTGTTTTATCTTATAAGTAATTTTAAAAAAGACTTAAAAGATATGTGTAAATATTAAGATTATAGTAAAATAAAAGATGTATTATATTCCGTAATGTTAAAAATCAAGTGTAATGTAACGATAAATTAATTATTAATAAATGTAATATCAATGATATTATTGATCTTATTATCACAAATAAAAAAAAAAGCTGAAAAAAATCACTTATTTTTAGGGGACTCTGAAAGAAAGTAGTATACAGGTATCGTTTTTACACATGTATATACATTTTTTTATATATAGAGATGAGGACGTGTGCATGGCGTTGCAGAAGCACAAATATTTATAGTCATTAGGGGCGAAAATGAGATACACGAGTCTAACGAAGTTACGCAAATTATGCGAAGCACAACAGGTTGTCCCTTAGTAGTAGTCAGCCATTCCACATTGTGAGTCACAAGGTTGAATTTTATCGAGAACACATTATTGATGTTCCTGGCATCGCGTGCGTAGGCTGCAAGCGTGTGTATATGTGTATTATGAACGCGCGCGTGTTACGACCGTAATTCGTTTTTTCCCTCTGATATTTCAGCATTGTAATTTTAGGGAAAATTCGACCTTGTGATCTTTAATACCGCTTTTATGTAGGATAACTTTGCTCTCTATTTTATACATTGCGCCTCGCTGAAAAAAAAAAAATACATCGTTTCATGGGTGGAACTGATTTTTATTGTTAAGCACAATAATATTCATCTGCTTTTACCGCATCTTCTGCATGTAGACTCGATCGTGAAATCGGCGGAGGTGCACAGAGCGATTCCTTATCCTCGAAAGCTCGATTCCAAAAGATCCAAATTGATTTTGCCATAGCCACATTCATTTTTCATTTGTTGACCCGCGTAAATCACGGGTGTAAAGAAAATAAAATTTAGTACTTTGTATTCTATTTACGTTTTGAAAAAATGCGTTCCGGAAGCGGATCTAGATTTTGGCAAATAAAATAAATATGACAACCGCCGCCTAACAGCGAACAGGTTCTTTACTTAATGTGTATACAAAGTACAATTAACTTTTTGACCGACGATTAAATTCGAACCTATTAGCGATATATTTCTTGAACCGATCTCATGTAGCAAGTACGGCGAAAGCATAACGTACATCATATAACACCGTAAAGATACAGCTTATCCTGTGTTATTCTAATAATATATGCAATATTTATGAGTTAATAAACCTGCTGGAATATATGTACAATAAATAAATAAAAGGAAAGAAACATAATAACATGTTGAATATTTTCAGATGTTCTCAAGGACAAGTTGATCTTCAAAGTATGACTCGATATTTTTTTATCGTGATACTTTTGAACACTCTGCTACATATATTCGCTGCTTATAAAAGTGGCATTGCGAACTTCTATTAAAAAAAGGATCATGCACGATAGTTTGATATTATTTAGTAGTCAGTCTAAAATTTGAACAATGTAGCAACGTTTACGATAATCAAATATTGCATGAAAAATTGTTTAAAGATTGCACTCTATGTATAAATAATATATATGTATAATCTATATTTTATATATATATTTATATTTATATATATATATAAGTACTATAATATGGAGTGTTAAATATTACATAAAAGAATTTAATATGGATAGAAGGTGATTTCTTTTCTGGAAAAATGAATATTCTCCTAAGTATACATCGCCTCGAGATAAAATGACTTCCCCCCCCCCTTTTTCATATTATAATCTGTGCACAATATAAAAATTGTGAAGGTAGCAATGAACTAGTCAGATATTGTTATTCAATAGCATGTTAGTTTTATATCTGATGGAAATAAAGTTATCAATAGAGTATGTGTACGGTGATTATCGTACGTCGAAAGAGAGATTGAGCTCCTTTTTTTCCTTTTTCGTTCATTCATTTTGAGAATTCTTGATGTAACAAAAGATATCAGTCGCAGTTGTATAGCATATACAAAATCAAGGTTAATCAGTACGCAGTACGTAAGAGACAACAGTGGTTATCAATTAATATAAAATAATAATTACAGGGGCAATCAATCTCATTTAGGTTTACATTCATTATTGGCGATTACTTAACGGATACCATGTACTTCCGGTTTTTCACAATTTTGGAACAGTTTCTGAAATGTAGGGGGTGCGAATAGACTTTGACACCCTGCATAGACTCAAGTAGAGTACACGAACCTATTCTACGCGAAAAATGTAATCCATTTAGTGTTGTTCGAACACTACAGATTAAATAATTTTACGCTAAAATTTACTAAGTTAAAATCGCCAGTATTGAATTTAACCGTATATTCTGCATATTTACCTAATAATATAAAACAAGAACACAACAAACTTCTTGGCATACAAAATACATTTTAACATGTAAAGTTGTATGTCATACTTTTCTTCTTTTTTTTTTTCCTTAGTTTATCTCCCTACCCTTCGGCTGTCTTCTCAGAATTTTTTTTTAGATTATTCTTTTACTTATGTAACGACAAACAATATATCAAGAAATGTTGATATTTATCTTCATTTGCTTATCGGGAACATGCGTTGTTTTTTTAAAATAAATTTTTCATGTGTACATACTTAATGAGTAATGAAGTCTCTTTTACACATGGCGGTGATTTTAAATGTATGTATTTTGCATAGTGAGCAAGGGAGGAAGAGAGGAAGGAAAAAGGATGTTTAGGAGGATAGCAAAACAAGTTTACCCGCTCTTAAAGAGAAGAATGGCTACCTGACCAAGGTAGAAATAGATAAAATGTCTTGTTTCGTGTGTCACATAGCTACCAAAATTACGTCCTACAATGCAATGCCACGTTGGGTTGTACTTTTTATCGAACTCTTTCTTGATAAATGCTGCAATGTCCTGAAAGCCAAAACCAATGGATATTAATGGTAAAATCAATAGTGTTATTGATTTAACAATCTCATCCTGTATAACTTGAGAATTTATATAACAGAAATATTTCAGAGAATAAGATATCAACTTTTATCATAATCTCAGTAATTACATTTAAATATTACAATTTTGAATTATATGTATATAATCTCTCAGGTGTTTTGTCACATTAATAAGAAATAAATAAGTCATGTGTTTCAAGTCATGTATTTCAAATATCAATTCATAATATTTATTGAATTCTTTAGCTTCTCTGAAAGTACAAAATCCTTATATACAATTGTACTTTTTTATTCATATAAAACTTTATTTATTCCTATTCTTAATAAAAATTATTAACTTGCCTAACGCAAAGACATAATGAGTTACTTAATTTTTATGACAAAAAATTAATTAAATTCATGCTTATAAAATGTATTAAAGTCTTTATTGAATACAAGAGAGAAATAAAAGAAATAAAACTAAATCTATTGGCAAATATATTTATTTTAATTGCGTATGTCTTAAATTTTCCGTTCTTTCTACGATACATTGGTGTGTAATGTTTACAGTGTGTTATCTACATCTGTATACATAAAAGTGTGACGAGCATATACCTTTTCAATGTTATATTTTTCGAGAGCTTGAGTGGCACAGTCAACAGCATCTTGTTGCATCTCCTCCGACATATCAGCATTCTTGATTACTGCTTTTCGGTCCGACATTTTGTTTGTTCTAAAACACAAAGATATAGCATTATCATACCATAGTGCTATGATCCAACAATGAAACACTTCTGCCTAATATTGTAAACAGTGTGTTTGTGTGTGTTAGAGAGAGAGAGAGAGAGAAAAAAACACCTCGGCGTGTTTTGGCATGAATGCAAATATACCAAAAAATATATCCACAGACACCAATTTGAGACAAAAAACTTGGAAAGCAGTTTGAATCCAAAAAAGAAATATAAATTTAGATAAGTTCGCGATCGCAACAGTGGCGGGTTCGCCACTGTTTTAAATTCACATCACTTTCAAAATAAACGACTTATTTATAAGCGACATTATCGGCGTTCTGTACTGAAAGTTAAATGCCACCAAGGGTGAATTGCGCAAATCGGAAGCTGCTGTTCGACAACTCTTCCGGACGTATCATTATATATATTGGGAGGCTCAACCTGGGCCGCGGGAAGCGCACGACTTTGACAGTAGCGTACACGTTCAACGCCGGCATGATAATACGGAGCCGAGTATTAGGCGAGTGTTCGGAGTAACGCTCGCTTCAGGAAGAACAAAGATGGGACGATAGAAGAAGGGAAAAATAGATAGCGCAGGCGGAGAAAGAGAGAGAGAGAGAGAGCGAGAGAGAGAGAGAGAGATATTCTCGCTCACGCGAATATGGGTGCAATGCACAAATAGAGAATAGAGATAGGAAGGAGAGAGACGAAGTTACAGATACCGATAGAGCGACATTTAGAGGGCGAGAGAAAGAGAAGGATTGAAAGGGGAGGGAGAGAGAGACTAAAGGAGGAGGGAGCACGAAAGGCGCGGGAGGACAGTGTTTTGTCGATACGACGACAATAAAGAAATGGCAATTCGACCGGCACGCGAGGTGCAAAGCCCATGAAAGTGGGTCGCGACGATGCTCGTCCTGGCGCCGACGTCGTCGAGCAGCATCCTGCCACCCGGTGACGATCTTCACATATGACATAAGAAAACGCGCGCAACACCGGATGGATCCTGGGCCACGATCCGGTCTCGACAAATTCGTGGCTCGAAAAATTCGCGGGGGAGGCCAAGAGAACCGAGCATACATCTTTGATATATTGGCAATTGTTCTCTCTCTCTCTCTCTCTCTCTTGGTCCTCACTCCATTAATCACACAGGGGAACACCGTTTGAATCTTCTCTCTACCTTTTCTCGTTGACACCGTCTCCAGTGGATGATCACACACACGATACAACAGGCTCGCCCTCCTCTCCGATCCGGTGTGAGCGAGTGTGGCCGTATACGCAAATCCGGCGAATGCCGTTTATTTTAAGGGCGCGCGCGCGATATTTTCCGATATACGATGGTAAACGCGTGCGACGAGAGATTTGGCCCGTACGATCCTGCGACGGGCGAATTGGCAATCGACCGTTTCCTGATGCTGCTTCCTCGGGAACACTCGGAAAAATTTTGGGCTCGTTGGCTCACTGGGACCAAAAGAGAGGAACGACAACTTTGCGACTCGAGCTCCGGACTGAGAGTACAGCCAGTCGCTACCGCGCTATACCGGTCCGTGATTGGTCGGCCGGCAGGGTCTTCTATCAGGAGCTTCTATCGGACCGGCATGCACCGCACGAAGCGACGCGCGAAAAACAAACGTACGACGAAAACATCGAGAACATCTAGAGCTCCAACCAGGTGAAGTTTATTTGCGTTTTTTCCAGTTTCCCGGCAACCAAAATAACGATCCAATGAGAACATTTTTGGTTCTAGGCGTTCTAGTTCGGTTATTACACTAGTTTGGCAAAGCTACCTTTTCTCCTGACGCAGAGTCATCGTTGACTCACACACACATGCGCACAGGTAAGTAAATTTTTTTAATCCTATCCGAGAATAAATGAAAAAACGGTGACATTGCCGATCGTTTTGGCTGTACCGACGATAACAAAATAAGTGATCTAGATAACTCGCATCTCTGATAAACTGTGTATGTCTGACATATTGAAAAGGTATCTTAGACATCTTCATTAATCATTATTGAAAACGACCAGCTTCAGACAATATAAATAAATTTTTTTAATTATTATTAAGTGAGCGCCCGGTAGATTCGAGAATAAGCTCGAGAGAACAGTGACATTATCGATCGTTCTTGCTGTACCGACGGTAACAAAAGTGATTCTCGCGTACCGGAGGACACATTACGGTTGTATTGTGATTGCGACCTCATTATCCTAACTTATCCTAAGCTCCTAATTCTTGTAGGAACTCTAGTTTGTAGGAACCCTTATACTTTATGTGTGTGTGTATGATTGCACTTTTTACATTATTAAATCAGTTCTAATAAGCAAACGTATCGTTAAATCGTAAAATTACAAATTGTAATGTTTATATAACTTTACGTACAGTTTTTACAGACAACTTCTTGCTAGCCGTAAGATTCACGAGAAATTGTAAGTATTTACGAATGATTGTATACTTTATTTACGATACGCGTAAAATATTATAATTCCATGCAGTCTTAAGTTCTTCCGAGAGTTACGAGCCTTACGAGTTTGATTAGAATTGATTCATATAGGTATTAGGTGTTATTGTTATAATAATAATAATAAATAGAGAGATCTGTTCACGTTGCTTGCATTTTTGTACTCAACGTCTTCGTTCTCTCTTTTTTTAAAGCAAAAATATATATCTATCTTATTTTAAATTAAAAAATTTGTAGGGATTTCAAACAACGCGAACAGATCTATTTATTATTATTATTTCTTTTTTTCAGTCTCTAAACTTATTTCAGTTTAGATTTGGTAAACCTGCAGATAGCTATAAAACGATTAAATCAACCGAAGAAGTATGAGAAATACGAATTTACGCCACGAGTCCGCCACGTCGTGATTTTGCAAAACGTGTTCGTTGTTCTATGATTTTCCGCATATATCGTACATAATTAATTGTTATCTTTGTCGCGTGTACCCGATGGCGAATTTTTCTTTAGATACAGTTGATACACGTTTAAGAATTTGTTACTGTAAAAATCTGTAAATTTAAGAGCTACATTTAAAATGATCAAAGGCATCAAAATCCGACACTGCTCATGTCTACATTATAAAAATACAACGATGAGTTGACATTTTCTTAAATTATTCAATTTCGTTTCTAAAATTGTATAATTTTGAATGTGATAAAAACATTGATTTTTATAATTATAGCAGTATCATTAAACAGTTTTTTATGATTATTCTTGATTTTATGAATACTCTTTTATGAATATTATGAATAAATTTTACGAGTATTTATATTCATTCAAACAAAATATAAACTGAAAAAGAAAGCTCCAATAAGCAATCGTTAATTAGAGCCGGCACTTTGATGTCTTTTAAGTAAAAAAGTGAATTTTATTTATTTTTGTCGTTGTAATATTCGGTTTTTCGGAGGAAAGAACTTAGAAATTAAAAAAATATTTTAAGGAGCAATACATATTTTTTATTTATTCCCAACAAAAACCTCAACGATAGCTTACATTTTCTCATCTGGATCATATTTTCCAAGCTTTAACTTTAACCAAGTTCGAAGGCAAAATATTTTACGGACTGTATCAGCAGTTGAACGATTACATTTGTTTACAAGTAAGTCAGGACCATAAGAAAATACACGCTCTACGGGTACGCTTGTACCAAAGCAAAAGTGAATACAAAACGAAAATATTCGTAATCATATTCAAAAAATATTCATTCAAATGCAATGAAAAAATATTTATCCGTTTCTTGGCGAATAAAAAAGAAGTGTATTCGAATGAGTATTTTCATTCACTTTTTATTCATTTATTCGAATATTAGGTGTATTCACTGGACACACTAATTCAACCTAATTTAATAACCGAATATAGTGTTTTTAATGTAATAAAGTATTATGTATCCTTATTGGACGTCTGTTCAAGGACATTTCTGGTAATTTCTATATGGGATGGGATTATCAACAACAATTATAATAAAAGTGTGATTTAGTTAGAGAAAATATCATAAATATAATCGTGATTCTCCATTTTAATTGCAAGGTAGATCATCTTTATACAAATTTAATATAAAATTTTCTTATCAATAACATAATATCCACAGATACAACATCTTTTCTGTCAATTTGATGAACTGTCGTTGTAAATTGAAGTGGAGATCAGTTTTGATTGTATTAGTTGAAGAAGACTCGAAAATGAGTCGAAACGTACTTATTAAAGATTTTAATTGAGGATCCGTTGTGGATTATTTACGTACCTACAACAACGTTGCACTCTCACATGCCTGTGATTTTTGATGTTTTTGAATCAGGAGAGTCCGTAAGGAGAATACGATGGAAATTTTTTACTCTATTAAAATAATTATTTAATTAGAAACAACATTTTTTACATCTTGATTTTTTAATTTTAAAATAAATCTATATAAATAGCTTAATGTATATAAATAGTTTAATAACTTTTATATAATATCTTCATAAATTTTCAATTTTGAAGGAAAAAGAAGAAAAAAAGTTTGAAGAATATTATTGGAAAGTATAAAAATATATCTTGAAAAGGAATAGATATATCTCGGAATAGATTTAAGATTCATTTTATATAGAGCTTTAAATAAAATGAATATATATCCGATATTTCGAAAGAAACAGAAAAAGGAAAATATTGTAACAAGATATAGAAAAGTATAACTAAAAAAGGTAAACCTAAACTCTGTTCCCTTTTCTCTGCGTTGGTTGCATATGAAATAAAGCAACTCCACTTCCTGGATTTTGAGGGATAACAAAGAGGATTGCAGAAAAATTTAAGAAAGAGCGGTCAGGGAGAACATTGACATTCGCGTTTGCATTTGAGACATATTTGAAATAACCTTGAAAATGGCGAACTTTACATCCGTGAATTTACTCGGATTGTAAAAATTTTGATGTAGAAAGTGTAAGCACCTTCAACCGACTGAAACATCTCAAGAGAGGATTTTTTTATAAATATAAAACGAATTTTTTTTTAACAAAAATGTCACGAAATTTTTCGTAACTTTATAGTTTTATTATACGTCTCATATGTTATATAATACCAACGAATTTGTTTTAAGTAAATTTTCTCTATTTTTACTCTTTATCACTCACTTATACCGGCCATAGTCGGTTCTTATTTCAAGACTGTCTTAAGTAATGTCTTAAGATGCTAAAGCGGCCCTCTAATTGGTTCGTAACTTCTCAAGACTGAACTTAAGACGGTCTTGAATATAAGAACTGACTATGAATACCGGCAGGGCCGTGGAGAGAAAAGCAGGGCCCGGGAGAAGAAAATTACGGGCCCCTATTTCACGCAGATATTACTCCCAACCAGGAGCGACAGATTTAGAATTTTTAATCTAATCTAAATAAGAAAGAATGTAGAGAAGGAAAAACTAACTAAATATCTTCAACATGCTTGCAAGATTGTTCGTTTTTTATTTTATTTTATTTTGCCTGATATTTGCAAGAACACATTTGTTGCAAGCACGCTAAAAGAACCACTAGCAACAGAAACTAGCAGAGTACAAAATATTCGTAAATTTTTAAAATGAATTTTAGATTTTAAAATAAATTTTAAATACCATAGGTAAATACACATATATATTTATTTGATTATCAAGAGACACGGTATATGTTTCTCCGGCCATGTTCAAAAACTAAAAGACACTACAAGTCTCTTATCCCGAGCCACCAAAAAGTCCATTTTTGGGTTTAATATTTTCTGGATTTTCCAATTAATTTTCAGAATAAACGAACTTTTTACTTACTCTTAAAATATTTTGTTGATCAAAACAAATTCTCTCATTTTTTACTTTCATAATATAATTTCTCTCTAAAAATTTCCGATTAAATAATTAATTTGTTTTCCGCAATTATTCTTTAGATTATACATCAGTTGGAAGAAGTTCAAAAGGAATCTGGTAGAATTGATAAAATTATTTTTTTATTAATTTACGCGGTTG